GAGGGGCACAGGTATTCTCAACACCTATACAAAATAAAGGAGGGGCACAGGTATTCTCAACACCTATACAAAAAAGGAGGGGCACAGATATTCTCAACACCTATACAAAATAAAGGAGGGGCACAGGTATTCTCAACACCTATACAAAAAAGGAGGGGCACAGATATTCTCAACACCTATACACAAAAAGGAGGGGCACAGGTATTCTCAACACCTATACAAAATAAAGGAGGGGCACATGTATTCTCAACACCTATACAAAATAAAGGAGGGGCACAGGTATTCTCAACACCTATACAAAATAAAAGAGGGGCACAGGTATTCTCAACACCTATACAAAATATGTTCCAGTTCAGTGCAGAATATTAAGCCAGGCCCATCGATGACCGTTGCCTGACAGATTGTGCAGTGATTAATGGTTTTATTTGTGTTTAATTACTGTTTTTCTTGTTTGATGCATCTTTAACCAGTTGGATGTAACTGTAATGTAAGAATTTAAATATCTGTTTAAAATAAAAATAGCACTATTTTCCATACTGAAATTAATGTGGTAAACGTTTTGGTATCCTGGCTAATTTGTTTTTTTACATCATGGGAGCCAACGTGTTTTGTACAGTAATTCACATTCAGATGGACATGGCAGGATTTTGAATTGTAACCATGTAATGCTGTAAGGTAATACACAAGACAAATGAAGGTTGCACCAAAGCTGACTATAGTACAGCTAATATGAACAAAATATAGTGGTACCAAAACAAAGTCTTTAGTGAAGCATGATGGGACACCAACGGCCTATATAGAGGAATATTCTCTATATGTATCAAATGGAGACAGCTTTCCATGATCCGTATGTAAAGAGAGAAGAAGATAATAGTGCAAATACATCTATTAAAAAGGTTGGGCAGCAGGAAGAAAGGGTCTATGGTAATCCTACTCACGTGTAGTAGAGCTAAACTAGCTCTAGTGAGGATGGCATACAGCGGTACAATACAGATGATAGGGCAGTACGTCTAGTAAAGATGCATAAAGTGTACAACAACAGAGTCTAATATAGTCCTACTCACTTGCAGTAGAGCTTGAACCATCTCTAGTGTGAATGACGTACAGCGGTATAATCCCTGCTTGTAGGATACATGTAGAGTGGTAAGTATTGTACCGATATGTAGATCATAAGAGAGAAGAGAGACAACTGATAGTGCTCGCTGTATAAAATTGTATATAAGGAGTATAAATAATGCTGTAAGGACCTTTTTGTTTTTGGAGCTGTTCCATTACACTCCACATAATCCACAAGCTCTCCATACCTGAACATCGGCGTATACATTACCTGCTGTGCCTTGGTCCTCTTGCTGAAGAGTTGAAACGTTTCTTCTTTAGAACAGGATAGTACTTTATGGTCACTAGTAGAAAAAAAAAGATTACAGAATTTCCTGTAAACTGACTACCTTCTGAATTTCTATTTCTTGTTGTGACACATTGGTTAATGCAGCTTTGTGGCTTGCTTTTGTAACACTTTATAAAAGTAGTACTCCGTCAAAAAAAAAAATAATAATAAAAAATATATATATATATATGTTCTAATAGCAATTGGTAGGGTGCTAATTCATTGTGAAAATGGAAGAACAAGGGGTCTCTTACTGAATTTGTGACTTGGGGACTTTGTGGAATATAATTCCAGCCCCTGGTATTACACTTTGATTTTAACCTTGCCACTTGGCTGGGAAAAGCTGATGGATTCAAACACCCAACAAGAAGAAGATGTTTAACCTTCTTATTTGGTAGACACAAATAAACCTTGCCAAAAAAAGGATAATTCTTCATTCATCTAATTACCCTTTTGTTGATGCCAGTTGTTGAAAATGTATATATTTCTGGGGGAAAAATGTCAAGTATGATATATTTTAACAGTGATTAAAACGAGTTGTCATTGCAATTTGATTCACTTCTGTGTAATTGTTTTTTTCACTTCACATACACTTGCAGAAGCACATTCTATATTTAGTCTTATGAACATACTCTGTAGTGCACCTTAGCAACCCTGCCAATTAGTGGAAACAAGCTTGGAAGGATCTGCTGCGTATCACGATTGGAAAAGGGAAAATCCATTAAAATTCGAAATGCTGTGCCTCATTATACCTCCGTCAGCATTAGAAAAATGATAATATATTCTGAAAAAAATATTGTAATGCCTACAAAACATTCATTGTGTAAAATTGCAGTACATCCACATATCTAACTTTGACACTTTTGTTATAAACAGATACAAATTTATAAAATTTTGTTGCCAGCGTGTTCTGTCTCATAGATGTTAAAAAAGAAAAGAAATGAGGAAGGAATAAATGCACAATGTATTCTTTCAAGCTACAGATAAATAATTCCTGGAATCTCACAAGGTGGGATGGTCTGTTTGCTCTAGAAAATAGTAATTATTCCCGATCCAGGGTCAGAAGCGAGAGATCAGCTCTGCCTACATATAACTGAGAATGATTCATAGTGTATACATTACTTGCTCTAGATTAATTTAGAGTGTATTTCTTGAAAGGAATACGATAGTGTTAGGAATACAGATCTGTATTCTTAATTCTATAGTGTCCATCATCCTAGCTATATTAAGGTGTCATCGTCCCACCCCTCCCATTTACAGTATTAGACAGAAAATAAAATTTTACTTACATTTTCTAGTGGCAAGACCTCCCTCGCTGCTGTCCACCTCTCCCCACCCTGCGATGTCATGTAGGAGGAAGGGCCTTCTCCACCAATGTCCAATTCAATGTTCCTCAGAGGATCATTAAGGACCTAAGGCACATGAGCAGCAAGTGTCATAAGCGCATTTGATCTTTCCCATAGGAAAGCATTAAATCATGTGACCACGTCATGTGACACAGTTTTAATTGGTTAGTGACATGGAATTGCAATAACTGCAATGTTTTAAATTTCAGGGTTAAGAGGACAGGGACATGGCACCCAGACTACTTCAATGGGATGACCTGATCAGGATGACTATAGTGTCCCTTTAAATCATTACTCCTTTGATACTAATTGGACCAAATTATACCACAACATCTTTGCTGGTTTTAGATCTTCAACCAGAACAACAAAGTCATCCCTAAACCCTTACAGGGCATGTATGTGAATAAATGCCACTAGAAATAAGCATCCACTCTTTAACTGTTAATAACCCATCCCCGGAGCTCTGGAAATTCTTATTACAAGAATGAGAATGATGGGGCACCAGATTCGGATACATACATACATTCATACACACACACACACACACCACCATGAACACCACCTCCACTCCCACCCCCATCCGCACTGTCCAGCAGTAGAGGAGTTTAACAGAATAGTGACTGGGTAGAATATTGACAGGAATCTGTAATAGGCCTGAAATCACGATACCCATTTCATACATGTAAATATTGTAGTAAATATCAGTACCTGAAGATTTTATATATATATATGTTTAAATGTATAACAGATTTTACAAGATACACAGCTTTATAAAATAAAACCCAAGGCTGCTACCACCACCCAGATACGGGTAAACACGAGCACCATTCTATTAGATTTGATTTTTAATTTTAATTTTTATTAGTATCTTATTTTGTATCTATGTATATCTACTACACAAACATTTTAAGACCTGTGGCATTTTAAACAGTACATGTATAGTACTGGTAATATTGCATATCTAAAAAAAAATCCATTAAAATTAGATAAAAAATAGTTATCCTTTTTTTTTGGCATGGTTTATTGGTGTCTACATAATATCTACTTAAACATCTTCTTCTTGTTGAGTGTTTGCACCCATCAACTTTCCCAGCCAAGTGGCAAGGTTAAAATCAAAGTGTAATACCAGGGGCTAGAATTATACAATCAAAATGTTCTATCAAGATGGAATTGTTCTATATATACTGCAGCCATTATATTTTCGCTTTCCAACATTATCACTCAAAGATGTACAATTCATATTTTAGTTATAAAAAACACAAAATTTTAATGAAAATACCTACAATAATAATAATATCTATATTTATGTAACCCCTTGCTTGTTATATTTATAAGATATAAAACACTAGACGCACGCATGTATTAATGATTTTTTAAATTAAATTATATCTGTTTCTTTCATTTTAGGAAAATCCCTTCCAGTGGAAAGCTGATTCTTACACTTACAACGGATGCTTGTGAAGGAAAGGAAAACTTTGTACGTTATCTTGAGCATGTTCAAGCTGTTATCACTGTAAATTCCACAAGACGGGGAGACTTAAACATCAACATGACCTCACCGATGGGAACTAAATCCATCCTATTGAGTCGAAGACCAAGGGATAATGACTCAAAGGTGGGCTTTGACAAGTGGCCATTCATGACGACGCACACATGGGGGGAAGATCCAAGGGGGACTTGGGTTCTTGAAATAGGGTTTGTTGGGGGCATGCCCGAGAAAGGTGTTTTAAAAGAATGGACCCTGATGTTGCATGGAACTCAAAGTGCCCCTTATATAGACCAAGTTGTTCGAGATTATCAGTCGAAGTTGGCGATGTCCAAGAAAGAAGAATTAGAAGAGGAACTTGACGAAGCTGTTGAAAGAAGTCTCAAGAGTCTATTAAGCAAAAACTAGCACTACTTTCTGCATGTCTGTCTTTTGTTTTTCTTTCTAGTACTTTATTTTTTGTGTACCTTTCTAACACCTTAACCTTCTGTATTAGATATAATTGTCTCTCTGTATCTTACATTTTAAACCTTTATAGCCATCTATTCCTTTATTAGGAATTTAATAAATATATATTTTTTACAGAGTGACCCACTAATTCGAACTATTTAAAACAGATGTAAACGATTTATGAAATTTATTTTTTTTGTGTTCTACAGAATATCTTACAAAATCAGGTTAGTATTCTTTATATATCTACAAAACACATAAATGTAAAATTGTAAGGTGAAAATCATTAAATCATATGAAAATATTTTAAATATAATGAGAAATATAAAATATTAAATAAATATTATTTTCAAATTTTTCAAAATGTAATAAAAAATTGTAAAATTATAAAGTCTTTTCAAGGGAATATATCATGGAAAAAAACACATTTTATATCATAAAATGTATTATGAAATTGGTTTAGTCCAGTATTAAAACAAATTTAAGTGCCACTTTTATTCTTTTATAAAAACAAATTAGAAGCCTGATTTGCTTCTATTTGTGCTGTGTTTATGTGATTTTCTTGTAGAAAAACAACAATGCCCGGAGACGTATAGAAAAATATCTTCTAAACATTGTTGCATTATACATGTATTATTGCTGACATCTACTGGTAGACTAGCTGCAGCTCAAAATTAGTTTTTAAATTAACAATATGAACTGTAGCTCAGAATTTATTTACATTAAGTATGTAAACAAAACATTTTAAAGATAAAGTAAATTTTAAAAATAATTTTGGTTAATTTTACTGAATTTTTTTTATAATGAATCACTAATATTTCTTTTGAACTTATCTTCAATATAATACACAATTTTTTGTAGATACTGGCAGAAAAAAAGATGTACTATGAGCGCAGGGTACCAGATTAACCTCCAGTTTTTGCACAAACCTTTTCAATTTAAAGGGACACTATTGTCACCAGAACAACTACAGATTAATGTTGTTTTCTGGTGAGTAATGTCAGTCCCTGCTGGCACTTTCATGTGAACACCGCCTTTTCAGAAAAAAGGCAGTGTTTACATTGCCCCCTGGGGACACCTCCAGTGGCCACTGGAGGTGCTTTCTGGGGCAGTGCTGCACAGTAGGCAGCACTGCCATTCGGTGTCTCTATGCTCTGCATGGAGAAGCTAAATTTTCCTCATAGAGATGCATTGATTCAATGCATCTTTATGAGGAGATGCTAATTGGAACACCTACAGTGTCAGTCACTCAGACAGTCACTAGAGGTGCTTCCTGGGATGGTGCTCTGCAATGAAATGCTGAACAGTCCCTATATAGATGCATAGATTCAATGCATCTCTATGAGGAGATGCTCATTGACCAGGGCATCGTTTGACTCCACCCCCATCCTGCCTCCTTGGCTGAGGTCATCAGAATTGACAATCTCAGCCAGAAATTGTCAATTCTGATGATCTCAGCCAAGGAGGCAAATCAAGAGTAGGATCCAGACCTGTGCGGGACTGGAATAAATGGTTTTTTTTTTTAACTTTAATTAGGGAGGGGCAAGTTGGGGTCAGAAACCTAGATACTGTTTATAACACTATAGGGTCAGGAATTCATCGTTGTGTTCCTGACCCTATAGTGTTCCTTTAAAATTGGGAGGGAATCTATGAAAATAAAACAAATGGGGAATTTATATTTCTCACTAAAGGAGTTAATTGTTTTTTTTTTTAATTTAAAATCAATCTGACTGCTTCTTATATCATGGTTAAAGTACATGGTTCTGCTAATACTTACCTCAGCTGATCATCTTTTTATACCCTTTCTAAAACCTTGAACCCCGAGATCAAAAAGGCACTTTTTGAGCCAAAACCTGATTGTGTCCTGTCTAATAAAACTTGCCTTGGACCTCATACCAGTGCCCAGTCCTATCTTTTGTAATATACTTCCTGAGATAAGGCATATACCCTAGAGCAGGCTTCCCCAAACTCCAGCCCTCCAGATGTTGCTGAACTACAACTCCCATGATTCTCAGCCTATTTCATTCATAGAATCAGTTTGGGGAAGCCTAAAGGATTCATATTTTCCAGGAGAAAAAAAAGCTAATGTAATTTCAATAAAACAGCAAATAGAATACAAAATTATGAATATGACGGATTTTTATGGTGGATTCCTTTAAATCAGCTAACCGCCAAGGTTCAATAAATACGTCAGAATATTTAAATTGCTTTCTTTTTCTTTTTTTTTTAGAAACTAATAGAAGCAAATGGGCATATTAGAGCACAATATATATTTGTTATTTTATATTAAATTATGAAAGTAAAATGTTGGTGTTTTTTCCATTTGCATACGATTCACAAAGACACCATAGTTAAAATTTAAATACTATATAAGCATACTTAAGCAGGGTAATTCTTCTATATTTTGTTATATTTAATCCCATTATGTCTTGTGTATTATGGTATATTCTAATCCAAATTTTTAATAGTGGTCAAATATTTCATTTGGAGATATAACAAAATAAACCAAAGGAATAAATATATATATATATATATATATACACATGTGATTATATGTATATGAAAGTATACATACATACACAAATAAAAATAATTCTGTACAGTACACATGTCCTTCTGTAATTAAAAATCATCTTGTTCCATATATAAAAAAAAAAACCTTGGTCCTCATAACACCAATGTGAAAATTTTAGACTACCATGTACATTAATTTACATTGCATTCTTGTAATCATGCAGTTGTATGTCAAAACATTAAATGTCTTATATAGCAGCAATTTTTAAAAATGTTTGTTTATATTTCTTAGATATTATTAGCATTCTTGAATTTAAATAAAAAAAACAAAAATTCTAATTAATTTGCTACATAAAAATGACCTGGACCTTTATGGTGAATTTAGTAAAATGGATTTGAAAATTACAATATTAACAAGAATGAAAGTTGTTTTCTAACGTCGTCGTAAATTTTACACAAAATGCCGTGAGCGTGTACATGTATGTGCATGAGTTAGCAGGTCTATGGGAATTTACAATTTTAATTATAAATTTACTGATGGAAAAAAAAATCACATTTATAATTATGCAGAATCAAAATACAGATTAAGTAGTATTGTTTTAAGATTTACAATGCTACTTAAAATCACCTATCTTAGCAAACAAACATAGAGATTCAGTCCACCCATATGGTCATATCGTGTTAAATCCAACACTACTCCACAGCTCTCAATATCAGTGGGTCCTACACTCATATTACCCTGCTGTGCCCTTATGATGTCCCTTTGGAAGCAACCACAAGGAAGTATAAATTAGAGGAGGCTTTAAATAGCAATGTCACTGTAATAATAATCTGGCTATAGAGCAGATATGATGTGATAAGTGTTGTGAGTATATACATCAATGAACCATCACTTTAATGATTTTGTTTCGACACTGTATTTTTTTAATTGTGCTTTTTATCACATTTATTTTGCATTATATAGATCCAAAGTGCTCTTACAACAGATTAATGAAATACACTAGTCCATCCAGCACTATTAAATTTGTCTCCCATGTTTGGAATTAGTGTAGGACCAACCAATATTGGGGTACTGTGGCATAGTGGTGGGCTTAACACAATATGGCCATATGGTGGAATGGAACCCTGTTTTTGTTTGCTGAGATAGGTGATTATAAAAAGCTTTGAACATGTAAAACAGTATTTTTGTGTGTGTAATATTCCTTAATCTGTATTTTGTATACATTTTGGTTTCTACAGCAGCAACACTGCTGAAAAATGCATTTTCCGGTGTACCACCAATTACGATTTTTTTTCTCTATAAATGAAGATACAATCACATATTTAAACATTTCCTCTCTACCCAAAAAACAAAACAAAATTAGCTTTGCTGACCTTTCCCCTTACTCCTGGTTTAGTCTTCACTTTTGCCAGGGCTACTTACAATTCTTCTGCATCTCTTCAGAGAGACTGAATATACTGGCCCACCTCCCTTCCTCCTATACGGTACAGAAAGCTTTTATGTAGTAGCCAGGGCCTCTTTATAGACTGTAATAAAAGATTGCAATGCAATACTCTGTCAGAGCACCAGTCACATGGTTCTATGATTGTCTTGCCAAGAAGCACTTTTACATCATTACTTACTCATAAGTAAGTGCCTTTCAGCATGAATTGCATAAGGCAGCTTTGTATTTTGGTCTTTGACTCCTCCCATATGTAACTTCACTGTTGTGTATATTGGAATAAAGTTTTTTAATAATATATCATGGACTGCTTGAGGCCTATTTTGAAAATTCCAATAAGGGATCCAGTAATTTATTTGCCTACATTTCAGTTGTGAGCTCATTTGTATTAGTTAGTCGATCTTAAAATTTTAATGGAACACTTCACGCACCAAAACAACTTCATCTATATAAAGTTGTTATGGTGCCAGGAGAACCACAGCGCAATCTTACTTTCAGGGGTTAAACTGTTCTTGAACAGTTCAGCCCCATAATTGTCTCCAGCACCAGTCTCAGCTACATGGCATCTGGCTTCTAAAATGTCTCTTACAGGAAGCATGTAGTGCCAATGGGCAGAGGAGCTCTCAGCCAATTAGTGACCCCAATTTACAAAACTGGCTTGGAAGAGCCTCACTTCCTATAAGTGAAATTTCAGAAGCAATATGTCGCAGGGGGAGCGGAGAAGGGGGGAGTTGTGACTGGTGCTAATGGCAACTTTAGGTTTAAACCATTTGAAAATGGTTTAACCCCTGAATGCGCCAGGGGCCTCCACAAGTTGCAATGGTGCCTTAAGATGCCTAAACTGTCCCTTTAAGGGTTAGAAAATGTAATAAATATCCTCCAAAATGTAGCTTCCAGTTTTCTTTGAATTGTTTAAATTTTCCATTTATTTTGATACAGATAAATGGAACGTGGCAAACAACTCCATTTATTTCTAACAAACAGTTGTAGTTTTCAAAAAGTTTTAATAGCTATAAAAATTAAGAAGCTAATGCTAGGTGAATAAAGAATGAAGGGAATGATATCCGAGTAAGTGAAAAATTGGACAGAGAAAAACAGACACCATATCTCCTGTGCTGCCACCATATATGGCTTCTGTAAGTCGTTCCTTGTTGTGTGCATTACTACACGACTAGTATTTAAGTGTTTGTGAGGACTTTGAAGGCAAGTAGCAAACAAGATTGATTGTAGTAAAATGTAGAACAAAATATGCAACAAAAATTAAACTTTATTCTTATAGTCAGAAGCCTAGTTAGAAGGACTTGCTCAATTATTATCAACACTAGACTTAGCAACAATCTGTAAATCCGGTCACTGGTTAGTGTATTCACACTGCAAGTAAAAGGCCACTACATGGACTATTCATTGCAAATTTGATCCCAGTTCTCCAAAAATTGCTTACAGATGTGGGCTACAAAATGATTGTTGAAATATTTGGATTTAAAGGCATTCGTGATGTCAGATTTACTTAACCAAGCAGCCTTCCCAGCATGATTGGATGGCATCGTCAATTCTGGCGTATTGAAGGGAAAAGTCTTCTGATGGGATCAGAGCAATAAGGCTAGGTGTAGGGAATGAGTGAGGTGCAGAAAAGTCAATAATCAGACTCTTTTTATTGTTATATTTCCCTGTGGTGATTCCTAGAGGGTTTGTCCTCTAGGAAGTGAAAGGAGGAGTAGAGTAAGGACCTATCATGAAACCATTGGTGATTTCTTTCTCTAAGAGTTCTTGTATGCTGTCTGGATCAGTGAGTGCCAACTGTAAGTTGGGGCTTTCCAAAAAACCTTTGGCGAATGACACGAGCCCTGTGTGAAACCCATTAGTGAAACCAGCCGTGAGAAATTCCACAAAATGAACAGAAGGATTATTAGACAGGTAGCATTGCAACTTAGGTACGTTTATTGGAGTGGAAGATTTGTTAGGGTACAATCTGTTGGGCACATTGTGTTGGCATTTGCTCTGAAACACAGTGAGCACACGTGCAGAAGCCTACAAGCACTATGACTGCAACCCCCGGCATTTAAATTATTGCAGACTTGTGCTTTACCTAGAAAAGCAATAGGCCTGCCTAGTTTGTCTCTCACTTCCCTCTGGGTCGTGTTGGATTGGTAACCAGTATTGGCGCTACTGGTAGAAGGGGTTGCTACGTTTTCAGGACAGAAATTGACTGAATGAGCAGCAGAAGAGCATATAGTGCAGGAAGGGGTTTTAAGGCCTGCAAAATGCATAAGAAACAATTCTGTGTCTAGCTGTGTCCAATCAGTAATTGTATGGTACTGGGAGAGCGATGCTGAGGATCTGGAAGCGAATGACTTATGATAATCACAAAATGCATAGCCCCCGTACTTGTATGCTAACTCGACCACTTTATGAAGGTATAAGTCAAGTTCCTCTCTACGGAGTGGGAAAGCTGTACAGATCACTTCTCTGTACAAATCGAATGCAAGGACAGATTCGGGGATGTTAAGCTTCCTATTTAGTCTAGGATCGCTAGACTTCATCACTACTGACAGATCCTCAAAGGTATAAGCCCTTTTCTCTACCACGTCTTGAGATGCTATCAGTAGTGAGGCCAAGTTTATGTCCTTCCCCTCTATAATGTCACATCTTAGAGACTGAGGAATGAAGTGAATAGGATTTATGATATTGGTAGCTCTATTGGCTGGTAGAGGGTTATCTTTACCTCCTGAGTTAGGGGCGGGCTGAGCAACAGCAACTGGAATCTCTGGAACGGTTGTAATATTGTTTGACTCCAGATTATCCAATCTATTATTAATAGTTGCTACTGAAACAAGGGAGGCCATCATGACGTGTAATTCTGCAAGGCTATTTTGCACATTGAATTCAAAACTAGGGCCAGGCTTTTCATTGTCTTCAGTAATATTTAATAACCTAAACAGTTTGGCTTTCTTGGCTGTAGCCGGGAAAGGAATATTCCTCTTTTTAAATTCTGAGGTGATTTTAGGGATAGTCCAGGAACGATAGCTGGAAGCTGGACTTGGTGGATTGGGTCGTCTCTGCGAGCCTGATCTGAATGGGGTGCTGGCAACCGACAGATCATCTCCTTGTGTAGAAGCGTTAGACATGCTACGGAAGTGAGGCAGATGGACAAGGTTAGTATGGTACCATATAGAACAGTAGTGACCCAGCTTACTAGGCTAGTGCCTACTGGCGAAATTGTATTAACTAGCTTATGTTGGTGACAGGTGAAGCCCTGACTACTTGCCAAGTGGCTATGAGAGGCAGTATCTATGATTTGGCTCGTGGGGCCTTTGTGTCACTGAGGTGGATGGCAGGGTGTTGGCCTCTCGGTGACACGTAAAAGAATGTAATATCGATTGGCCGTGACTGGTGAGGCTCTAACTATGACTTGATGCAAGGCTCTAACTATGCATTGGGACGATTGGGCATGAACTTCTGAATGGAAGGGCCATAGAATGCCTTGCGGGACCACTTGACTAATAGGCGAAGAGGCCTATGGGATCATACCTAACTTGGCAAGAGCTTAAACCTACTCATAACCATGCCTGGGTTTGACCGGTTAACGTACCTGATGATTGACTTGCATGACAAATACTGAAGTGGAAAGAACAATACTTACTTGAACCTAAAACACAAATTTAAGTTACAACCTAATCCCTGGGAGAAACCGTAGAAAATTGCCCCTCCAAACAAAAAGGTATATACTAACCGTATACGCAGAAAATTATTTAAGAAGATTTGGCCAGGTGATAACCAGAACTCTTATGATGCTGTAGTTGCGTTTAACCAATAAGGCCCATTTGTACGCAGTGTCAGAAATAGTGTTATCTTAACAGAGGGGAGAAACAACATATAAAATAATGTCATCTAAACAATACTGAATAGTGTAGTTAGTAACAAGAAATGCACGAGACCGGCTGAGTATATGAATAACTTGTATAATATAATAATAAGCAAAGAAAGTACGCGATAAGATATAAGGAAAATCCTTTAGTGACGACCTTTAGCTGACCTAATGGAAGGGAAAAAATAAAAATATATATATTTTTTTATAAATTAACCCCTGCTGTAATAACAGTGGTTTGCCCACAGTTAATAACCGCCACTTAATGTACCCCAAATTAAGATACTGAGCAAAGAAACATATATATATATATATAAAATAAGCCTATTAACAGAATTTTACCGCTCAACCACAAGGTGGCGACAAAAGACAAATTCAACCAGGCTACCCGGCATATAATTGACAATATCGAAGCTTAAATGAATGGAACCGTCATAGTAAGAATGAAAATGACAGAATGGTAATCTTAATCTAAACAGAGTTTTAACTTCTACTGCAATGTGTGAGTGAAATACCAGCATTGAAATAATGCCAGTTTATACCACACGAAATGAAAGTTTGCATGAATGGAGCTTCATAACTGAGTTTTGTGTAAAACAACCGAAAGCTGGATGAAGTGTTTATGCTCGGCTATTGTATGTAACGAAAGGTTTAATTAAACAAATTAATGCGAACGGACACCTGATATTCCCATGAGTAGATGAATGTTTAACCTGAAATGCCTGATTGCTCGAATTGTAGTGACATGTGTAAGGTAAACGGAGGATTATGGCATTTTTTAAGAGCAGAGTTTATAAAAAGAATATTTATCTAATAGCTGAATAAATTAGATTAGAATTGTAACAGGTCGTAGAGTTTACCATAATCATGCGTTTTGATTTATTGAAAACCTTATGTGTATTGGTTAAACAACATATGTATTTGATTTGATTGATACCGGAAGTAAAGCGATGCACTTCCGGGAATGTCGACGACAGGTAAACTGGGCTTACTGCGTTTAAATAGGGAATAATGTACCTCCCACAATTACAGGCCAAGCCTTCTATGCTATTTCCAGCTCCTAGGCTGCTTGTCCTTCACCTTTGTTAAAATTCTCAACCAGCTTACGTTTTGGCAGCTGGTTGGGGTCAAACTAGATTGAATCAGTTATTTTCATAGATAATCATTGCTCCGGTGTTTTCTCAATGCATGGAGGAGGTAACACAAAATTATCATAATTGCCTGCACAATGCCTGCCTTCTCCTGTTTTGTGAGTTTCTAGCCACCAACGTTGCAACCTCCTGGAACTACTGGTGCCCAAAACCACAGAACTAGTACTTGCAGAGAAGCCCAAACCTATCTCAGAATTCTATTTCAACACTGGTCCCAATATTTTAGTGGCAGTATTACACAGGTTCTTGTGTTTAAATAGCTAATATCACTCTTAATATGAAGGTTTGGTAATTACCCTACTAAGTAACTCTTTTTTATTTTGATGACAGGGAATGTGCATGTTTGTAAATGTGAAAGTTTATTAAACAATGGAATTTATCCTAAAGTCCATTTATTAAATACATTATTTTTATTTTGTTATTAGTTACTCTTTTCTCTTTCCCTTGTTTAATTTGTCCCGAATTAGTCCTTTTCTATCCACTACCTGTTCGTCATACTCTCTCTGTCTGTGTTTTGCCCTCTCCACTGTATATATGTGCTATTCAGTCTCACACGGAATCATCTCTCTGATTCAAGAGGGTGATCTCACCATGCAAAAGCAACTACTAAAATGTCATGAAATTTCAGAGATAATGCCATTCACATGCTGATAGGACATAAACAGACACACAAATAGACATTTAGACATGTGACTCTCTAGACTGTCCTTTTCCTTCTATGGTCATTGATCTCTTGGCTGTTGAGTACACTCAGAGAAGGAAGTCAAACAGGAAGAACTTTAGTGAAACGGGGACTGTGGTAAGAGACAGAGGTATGTAAAAAAAAAGTTGCAACGGACACAATTTTAGGCTTCAAAAGAAACAAATATCACATAATTAAAAGACCAATACCTATTAAAATGTGTTAGAGACTGGTGCCCCATTAATTCAGTGCATTTTTTCCATCATGTTTGACAAACAGTAACTAGCTGTTAAGCTGGATATTGGACCTAACAATGTTTATCATCCAACGTTCCTTTGCAAATTGTCATCATTCCTGTTTAATGCATTTCGTCATAAGAAAAAGTAGAGGGTTCTATCATTGTTTTCAGCTTGCTACTCTTTCTGGTTCATCTATATTAATTCATACTAATATATGTACAGTTTTAAATAATACACAGAAATGTATGCAGTGGATGTAATTTACCGTAATAACAATCTTTAAATAATAAACATGGAAGTATACTAAGTGTTGCCAATAATACTAATAATACGGAGTAATGTTTTCATTTGTGTATTTTTGCGATATCACATTTTAAAATCCTTATACTTTTCCCTCCCAAAAGACGAGTTCTTTTTGCAGAAGGAATTTCGATCCTACTGAATAGCTTCATTGGACAAATCTTTCTCAAAAACATTCACAATCTCCTCTGGCCTCATCTCTTTGTATCTCTGTCCAAGAATCTGACATTAGCCTGGCTACATACTTGTTTTGCACGTCTGAGTCGAGATACTTCTATTCCCCCACTGATAAACTTTCAGTTGAGGAATAAAAGTATACCACAAAACTCCCTGTAAAGTAATGGAGTAGTATCTATAAATTACGAATGACTCTTACTTCAAAGTGATGGACATGGAAGCATCTACCGGAGAAGTGGTTTCAGTGGGCACCATCACTGCTGCTCACCATGAGACCTTTATACTAATAATGGTAAATAAAGGTGGACTTTTAAAGGTGAATGGGGTTTCCTTGTGTTTACTTCAATGTATGAACTTCACTTGAAACCAAGGAATGAAAAACAATTGGGGAAATCTTTGAGCAAACTCTTGCCAGTTGTGCCGTATGACTAATTATGCATTAAGTGCTACATTGTGACTAGTTGGACGTGCATTCAGATAATGACTATGCAAGGGAGCACCAGCGAGAAGCCAGGAAAGAATGCAAATATGCAAGGCCTTTTTCTTTATTTTTATTTTTATAGTCTGCATATTTTGTGCCAGTTTTTGATAGTTACATTATATTAGGTTTATTATTCTCAGTCAAATATTCCAGATTAAGCATACATAAAATAATTGTATATTACTGGATTTATTTCTTATTATGATTATTTAATCATTCACCTTACTAATGCTTATTAGAGGCAAAGGAGGGAGTCCTGGGGATACATTTTTGATCATTTATTTTGGCACCCGCACCATAATTAGTAGATGTGTGATGACAAATGTGATTGTTACCTTGGAATTTTGAATGATCATAAAAGTTCCTGTTGTAACATTTTACTAAATTAAGCTATGAGACACAGGTAGAAGATAATAATGATTAGTAACATTAGTAAGTAATGCTCAAAAAGCCAAATCTTTATTGGAATGCAAATTAGCCAAATGAACCAGTCTTACATCCACATCAATTAACGGAGCAGCTAGCATATGATTTACATAATTATTCAGAGATTTTGGCAAACCTTAATCGTGGCTTGTTATTAGTGAACAGTAGGTAAGCTGTCTATGGATATCTTAGCAGGTTTATACTGTTATTTAATAATCATTCCAATTATATTACTGCTTTTCAGTAACCAATTCACATTTTATTTGGTTTTATCATAACATTCTAAACTGTGTCTTCACCAAGGCATTGTATTTTATTTCAGTCCCTGCCACTGTACTTAAATAGTTCAATATCATATGTAAAGTGTATGTCAAACACATCTCACTGATAAAAATCAATACAATATGTTATCAGAGGAGACATCGTCTGTATTTTAAGAGTATGTTTCTTGGATTCTACTTCTTCCTTGTTTTTTCAATCATGGTCTCTACGATCACAGCTGTTTCTTCATAACTCTTAATTCTGTCATCTGAGAACTTCTCAATCGATTCTACCACTTCAACTTTCTCATAACTCATTGAACTTGGAAAATGTCTCGTCCTTAAAGATCTTAAACTGTCAGCCCCACTATCCTGATCACTGTCCCTTCCGTATCTGCTAAGGTTCCCTGAATCAGAACTGGAGCGGAGTCCATGCGACTGTGAATCTTCTGCTTGTGGGTCAACTGGAGGCTTCTTTGCTTCTTTCTTTTTATCTTCTGTCTGTTTGCCTCTGTGATCACCTTTGCCATCGTCGTCCTCCTTTTTTGTTTCCTTATTACCTGGGTCATCCTCTTGTTTGTCTTCAGAGCCAGATTCACCATCCTCACTCTCTGAAGATTCTGAAGGCTCAGGTAATTCAGGAATTGGTAACACAACATCATCCTCTGGTGTAACATCATGGATAATACTAACAGTAACCCTTCCTCCTGCCTGTGGTATAGATGACATGAAGCAAGGGTCTAAATAACTTGACTCCCCAGTTACAAGCACATAGCGACCCTTGGTGAACAAATCTGGAGAAGGCTCTGGCTTCGTGTAACCTCTCTTTCTACCTCTTACAATATTACATAGTTTATCGAATGCTTTACTTATTTGTGCTCCATCCGGTACATCGTCTGGGAGTACATCCCTCTCATTTAAATCAAAATCTTTCTCAGTTTCCCCATATGAAAAAGTATCATATTTAAATTCTGACTGTTCTGTGTCTAAACTATCTTGTTTTTGCTCAATTGCTCTATCTTCAGTACTAATCTCACCCTTATCCATTGATATGTCTTTCTTTCTTGATGTTTTACGTGTGACACCTTTCTGTCTTGGTTTTGCAGTAGCAATGTCTTGTATGGCCAGAGTTATATCTGTCAAATAAATAAAAAAATGTTGTGAGCACAGATAAAAAAATTTTTAAAAAAATATGGCGAAATAGACATGACGAACACCAGTAAAAAGAGGCAAGACAAGATAAGGACAGGTGGGAGGAATTTAAGACAGAAATCTTAATTTATGAGCTGGCAGTGAACTTAGATGAATATGATTTCCTGAGTCCTAAAATGACCCATATTATCCAGCCACATTCTTATCCTTTTCCAAATAAGGTATCATCTTCAAAAAAGGAGTGAAACAAAGTTATGAGAAAGAGGTGAAAGTCCCCATGTAGGATATAATTTTGTGAGGTTCTTTGTTTTATATAAAAAAATCAATGAGAGTTATTTAGTAAACTGGAAATGGATTGTAATTGTTGAGAATGAGTTAAGCTATTTTCTCTTGGTTAATTGTCAGCATTTCTAAATCAAGAAAGTATTCCTTAATGAATATCTGATGACTTGAATATTGGATGACTGAGACAGTTTGTAAAATATCATTAAAATTACAAAATAAAATGAAAATTTGCATATAAAATTGCAATACATTTGGTTGAATGTGCAACATTGCAATGGAAATCCAAGCATTATACTTTCAAAGCCACTGCATCTACTTTTGCTCAAACAATGTAACAAATAATGTAACAAAGGAAAAAAGTCTTCTGTATTTCTCTACAAGAAGCATCTGATTGGACCAGAGATCATTAGTAATGAGGATTGCACCATAAGTGGTGCAGCTGCTGATAGAAAAATTTAATTACTGTAAAATTTTAAGATTTTGTAATATTTTTTTAATTGTACTAATAGTGTTTACTAAATCTAACATAAAAAATAAAAATGTTCATATTTAATGTTTGAGTGTTCCTTTGAAAACTAACAAGGTTATTCATTAACGTGAGAATTCAATGTGAATTTTAAACTTTAGCTTTGATTTAATATTATTGGATAAGCTTCACAAATTATGCAATATTTTTAATAACCCATTAAAATGATTTGATATTATGAACAATATTTAAATGTTTTAATATTTTGATATATTCATATATTTTTAATTTAATATATTTTGTGATATTTAAATATGTTGAAAAAAAAATTATTTGAAAGTTTATCCAAAAATTTTAAATCATTTGGAAAGCATATGCAATAATATGAAATCAGGGCCTTTATGTCACACAGGAGGCTTCTGTTATGCATTAAACTCTCTTTACTACTCCAGAGCAGCAAACAATGTGTTAACAAGCAAGTTGGAAATAAAAAACATTGTAAGTGCAACTAAACATGAACAAAACTCTCATAAACCAATCAGGAGCCATCATATACTATATAAGACACATTCCTATCACTCCCGTTCTCTTTCTTTGCTGATCCTGCGTCAAAATAAGTATTTTATTTATATTGCTCTTACATAGAAACATAGAAACATAGAATGTGACGGCAGATAAGAACCATTCGGCCCATCTAGTCTGCCCAATTTTCTAAATACTTTCATTAGTCCCTGGCCTTATCTTATAGTTGGATAGAATGTATGTTATAGCAAACTTTCGTTACATAGTACTTCCGCCATATTTAAAAAGTTCTTTCTGTGATATTATCCATTTATCTCTTTATATTGTTTTACCCTAAGCTTAGCACAATTCCACCCTTCCAGCTGAATGGTTGGAAAATGGTTGAGAACACCACTGGACAAATTAACAAGGAACAAATAAAGTGCTGAATGTCCCACTATCTTTCATTAAGTAGATATGAAACCTGAATTGCATCCTAAAAACAGAAATCAGAAATTACTTTTATCCTTTCTTCAACTACTTGGTAGTTTACTAAAGTTTTATAGTTGGTCATTTCTCTTTTGAGAATCAAGGGAGTGAGATTAATCGTTTATCTGGATGACATTCTGGTGATGTCACAATCTTTACAGACAATCAATCTTCACCTGGACTGGACATTATCCCTTCTAACAGAGTTGTGTTTTATTATAAATTATAAGACATCTGCAATTTACCGACACCAGAACACACAATTCCTCGAATTTTTGATAGATTTCCAAGCAACTCTTACTCTTGTTTACCAGTTAGAAAACTTAAATTGCTAAAGAAAGAAATGAAATTCACCTCATATGTCTTAGAGCTCTAGCTCAATTGTAGAACATCAAGCTTCCTCCATTCAAGCAATGTTCCTACCCTCATTTCATTACCAAGCCCTACAAAATTTGAAGGTTAAATATTTATGAAATAGTCCCAGTTATGTGAACAAGCATTCAGTCACAGAAGAGACCACAGAGTAACTTATATGGTAGATAAAGTATATTCAAGCTTGGAATGGGAGAGCCCTGTTTGGCTCTCAACCAGACCTTATTATTGAATCCGATGAAGTCTGTACGGTTCTGGAACTCATTGTGGAGGACTTTCCACTGGAGGTAATTGGCCCTGGGACGAATCTCACCTTCATATCAATTTTCTAGATCTACTAGCTAGTTATTTGTCTTTCAATAGTTTTGCAAAAGACAGAGTCAATTGCTGCACATTCTTCTTAAGATCAACAATATTTCTGGGGTTCAATAGATAAATCAATTAGGAGGTAAAAAAAAAAAACTCTTGCGGAATTGGGAAATCTTTTGAAACATTTGTCTTGATTAGGATATTACATTGATGGCAGAAAACACTATTTAGTAATTAAAAGATAGACCACTACTCACTGTAGCTTTTAAGAGGCCTCTGGTCCCATCCATTAACCAGCCAATGACCCAAATAAAAACAAACAATCCAGTACTTCTCAGTAACATTTCAAACCATTAGTAGGTCATTATCAAACCATAAGGTTATATTTTAAGCTTATAGACTTCTTAGCTTAGATCTGACATTTACCCTAGACTACTTATATTTAATCTTTAAACCATACTTACCTGTCACTTCTAATACTCTAGTTAGATGGGTTTGTTCCATGTTGCAGTTAGCAGGTATTGCCATTAATAGAAACATAGAAACATAGAATGTGACGGCAGATAAGAACCATTGGGCCCATCTAGTCTGCCCAATTTTACATATACTTTCATTAGTCCCTGGCCTTATCTTATAGTTAGGATAGTCTTATGCCTATTCCACGCATGCTTAAACTCCTTTACTGTGTTAACCTCTACCACTTCAGCTGGAAGGCTATTCCATGCGTCCACTACCCTCTCAGTACAGTAATACTTCCTGATATTATTTTTAAACCTTTGTCCCTCTAATTTAAGACCATGTCCTCTTGTGGTAATTTTCCTTCTTTTAAATATAGTCTCCTCTTTTACTGTGTTGATTCCCTTTATGTATTTAAATGTTTCTATCATATCCCTCCTGTCTCGTCTTTCCTCCAAGCTATACATGTTAAGATCCTTTAACCTTTCCTGGTAAATTTTATCCTGTGCTCCATGAACTAGTTTTGTAGCCCTTCTCTGAACTCTCTCTAAGGTATCAATATCCTTCTGAAGATACGGTCTCCAGTATTGCGTACAATACTCCAAGCGAGGTCTCTCCAGTGCTCTGTACAATGGCATGAGCACTTCCCTCTTTCTACTGCTAATTCCTCTCCCCATGCGCCCAAGCATTCTGCAAGCATTTCCTGTTGCTCTATGACATTGTCTGCCCACCTTTAAGTCACCTTTACTCCTAAATCCCTTTCCTCAGATGTTGAGGTTAGGACTATATAAAATATTCTGTACTCTGCCCTTGGGTTTTTACGTCCAAGATGCATTATCTTGCACTTATCCACATTAAATGTCAGCTGCCACAGCTCTGACCATTTTTCTAGTTTACCTCAATCATTTGCCATTTGGCTTATCCCTCCTGGAACATCAACCCTGTTACATAGATACAAGTACAGATCCCTGAGGTACCCCACTGGTAACAAGAACTTGCTTTGAATATACTCCAATGACTACAACCCTCTGTTGCCTGTCATTCAGCCACTGCCTAACCCATTCAACAGTATTGGAATCCAAACTTAAAGATTGCAGTTTATTGATGAGCCTTCTGTGTGCAACAGTGTCAAAAGCCTTACTGAAATCTAGGTAAACAATGTCTCCTGCACCACCCTGATCTATTATTTTAGTTACCCAATCAAAGAAAAATAAATAAAATTAGTTTGACATGACCTCCCTGAAGTAAACCCATGTTGGCTGTGTTTTGTTAGTACACCACTAAGCCATTTAATAACTTTGGGTGTATTCCATCAGGCCCCATCTACTTATTTGTCTTGGAGCTCATTCTACAAGGGGAGTCATGTTTTCTAAAGTATTTCAAGCAGTGTGTTCCATATCTGATATTTTAAAAGCTGCTGATTGGTCCTCAGGTTCCTAGCTTAAGACTTTTTATATTAAGCCCCCATCTCTCTCATGTTGCCACATTAGTTTTACTTTAATTGTTTGTTTATTAGCTTTTACCATTCATAACAGGAACATTCTGTCTGACATAAAATTCAAGATTTTCCCCGGCTGGGTAAAGGAAAATAGAAACGTTATAAAAGACAGGAAGCAAATTTTATCACACCCTAATTGTCTATCCCTCCCACATATGTTTTCTGTTTTTCCTTCCAGTGTGAACTTCAGGTTCTTCGTATCTTTAATCAAATCATTCTGGGTTTATTAAACTTGATGTTATGGTTATTTGTTTAAACCAGACTGTTCAATAAAGGAAGTGTAAACATTAGATGACTATTTACAGAAAGTGTTTAGGGAGACTGTGTAAGTCATATGCAGGGAGGTGTGGCTAAGGCTGTATAAAAAAAGTGTTTTAACTCCTAAATAGCAGAGAATTGAGCAGCAGACTACAGAGGCATGATCTATACATTAAAACTACTTTGTTAAGCTAAAGTTGTTGATTTTTTGTTTTTGTTTTGGTGCCTATAGTGTCCCTTTACATTTACATTCCAAAAATTAAAAAACAACAAGTTTTTAGCTACAAATTATGACAATTTTAATTTCTAAACTGCTCTACTTTTACCCAAATGTCATAGCATATAACATTTATAATATCTGATAATTAATTAATGTTTTTTTTCTTGCTAAATGTGCCCCCTGACTCTACACATTGAAAGGTGGAAAATGAGGGAGTATGCGGCAAAGAGATGGATGTGGCTTCATTTTGCTGGAAAATTTAGTGCAAGGGCATAAGCTGATTATGGGGAATGTGCGATCTCACAGTAAAAATGTATTATAAATGAAGCGGTAGAGCAGCCATCAAGGAATCTGACAATTTCAGACACTGCCTGCCACTTACCACAAGAGGTTTGAGAGGAAAAGAGAGATACCTACAACATCTCTTAACAGAGCCACCCTAATGGCCAAATGATTAGGACAGGAGGATTAGCATAGCCATGGGATCACCCTGCCAAGTATATGAAACCTCGCTTCACTAAGCAAGGGGTGGTGAAGTAGGAGGTAATAATTGAGTTCTCATTCATTGAGTTTATGAATTTCTTTTGAAACCGACACCATGGTTGAGTTATTGGATAAAGGGGCATCATTTAGTTTGCCTCCAAGTGTAATATTTATTACATTTTTATCTTAAATTGTTTGCCATACGGCACCTTACTGTTACCACTTTCAAAAGGGTTAGATTTCTATTAGCTGAAAAAAGCAGGTAAATATGATTTCGTTTTATATTTACCTGCTTGTTCTTACTCATTCTTTCTCACCCACTCCAGGGGATACATGGGTCTAACCAATCAGTGTCCTATTTCTAAAAATGCTGGAAAAGTGCATTGGGTATGCTTGACTGATTGGCACATGTCCATTTGGAATTCACCTTGCAACACCTTGACAGAGACAGAAGAGAGGAAATCCGATCAGTGAGATCATGCAGAGCAGGCTCCATGTCCGGTTTCTCTCTCTTGCTGCTGCCCAATGATGCCCTTTTTCTGACATAGTGGACCGGTCTTAAACTGAGATCTATGGGTGAGAGGGAGGGGGTGGGAAAGCAGCAGAAACTCCCCTAGTTGAAAAGTGTGTCCAACAATGCAATCTGATCAAATCTATAGTAAGTTTTTTTCTTGTTTTATTTTGGTTTGTTTATTTGTTTAAGAGTGTTTGCTTGCTGGTCTAAAAAAACAATTGTCAAGTAATGCATGTTATTATCAGAACAGTTATATTAAAAATCTTCAATCTGGACAAATGATCCAGCTCTATTTAAAAAGATGGCAACATTCCAAAGCCTGATGAATAGCTGATCTGCTACATTGTAATAGCAAATCAACTATTTTACAAGTCCAGTTGTTATTCAATTTCAAATGGTAATTTTATATCTGTTATACTTTAAGTGAACAGCTGACATGAAGATTTTTGTGGACCTTGAATTGATAAACGTCTGGTACTTGGGATTGGGGGTCTATTTTTTCCAAGGGTGATATTATTTCATAGTTAAATATGAAATACTTATTTCCTGTAATATTTTTCACTATTATACATTTTAATGTACGTTCACTGATTTGGTTCCTGTACACGAATGCAGAATCAATACCTTTCCCTCTTGTTGGCGACTTTTGAGATGATTTGTAGCTTTGCATGATCAGTGTAATTGGAGTTCCAACGATTGCAGAATTCAGTCTGGTAAAAAAAAACATAATTAAAATACATACATACATAGGAATATAAAATACATTTGTCACATATTATTCTACTCGTTGGACATCTGTTAAGGTAAAAATATTCTCTAATGCTGATTTAAAGTCAGACAATATCTAAATATGAAAACTGAAATAATATTATATCTAAATACAACTTAGTAAAAATCGAAATGAGCATCATGGGTATTTCGGATAATTAATACCCAAAGTGTTTTTGCACGTCTCTAACAAAGTTTTCCATGCCACACCAAATTATTTGAAGTTCTCTGTAGACTCAAATGCTTAAAAGAAATGTTTCCAGAGTTTAACGTGTAATAAAACAATTTGTATAAAAATAGTATGATGTCATATAAACTATAAAAAGTAGCATTTAAATGAGCTGCTTTCAAATAAAAACCCTTTTTAAACATTAACAATAAAAATACATCAATAATTAAAAAAGATAATATATCAATAATTAAAGAAGACAAAGTGAATGTCATTGTGATCAGATCGGCTCTTCTGACTGCATGGATCAATAACGACCTATCCATTGATTTTTCCATATATTCCATTCCCACTAATATCTCACACTTATCACAGCAGCATGATATGTTGTACTTGATGAACCTTTAGACCTTTCTTTAAGCCTAATTTAATGTATTATAAATGTACCTGTTATCTTCATTTTCAATGATACGTTTGTATCTCTCCAGCTCATTTTCCAACGACTGTTGATATATCACTAGCTGACGGCAATCATTTGTATACTTCTCTAAATTCTTCTCAGCTTCTTCAATGCCCTTCCTCAGAACTTCAATCTGTTCATTGTAAAGCTGTATCTCATCATCGTAACTCTCCTGCGTGTTCTTAATGGCTTGATCTAGCATGGTAGTCTACAAAAACAAATAATAAGAAGAAGAAAAATGACTTGTGTCTGTTATGATTTATTAGTAAATAGAATGCGTACTCATATACTCATTCGACCTTTTCAGTCATGTGGTTAATGTATAATTACAGACATGTACAATATTCACATTCGTTTCCTAGGCCATATTCACTAATAACACGAGTATATTAAATGCAACAGAATATAAGCTGGGCCTTGCAGGCAGATTCTTTTAAACTCGTGTATTGCAAAAGCCATCAGTTGTATACTAGGTTTAGATTGAACCATTGTTGTGTCAATACATATATAGGTTAGCATACCAGAAGTGTATGGCTCTAAGGCTCATGTGATGTCTAAAATGCACTGTATCTAAATCCCTTTCACTCACTACAATAACTTTACTCACTATATCATTAAATCCCCCTAATGTCCGATTTTATCAATCTGACAAATTCAATCAGCCATGTTCTGATAATTGTTTCTCTTTTACCCTATAATTGATTGGAAGAAAAGTCAAAGATTTTTGTAGGGCATAGATGATTTATTTATTTAAAGAGTTACTCCAACTATCACAACCATTACAGCTCTTTGTAGTGGTTATGGGAGTGTGAGCACCTTTGTGTAATTCCCTGTCATTAGGGTAAACTGTTTTACAGTTGTTTGCTATCTTACCTGGCCCCACTGGGCACTGGGTATCCTTTCATGCAGAATTTCTGACATCAAGCTTCTGTAGAGCTGCAGAAGTTGGATGCCAACTTGTCAGGCATTAATAGGCTGAAAGCATCAGCTGACCACTATCAGCCAATTAAATAGATTCTGTGCATTGAAATTTCCAAAAAAAATAGTATTAGCCAACCCAGATCTTTAGTTCTGGGCTGGCTGATAACATTCCAGTTACTAACCATTTAAGCTTAATTTGAAATGCCCATTTATTTGTCAAGCAAAAATCAGCAAAGTTATGGTGGAGAATAAAATGGAATAATTAGGCAAAAATGCGATTCTTTGTTAAACTAATTTGCATATGCCCACCCAGAATCCTTTGCAGTAGTAACATCACTGCAAATTTGAGATTTCTGTGGTAAAAGCAATGGAATGCAGATCTGTGTTTAACAATGATGGTCGTACCCATCCTAAAAAAGCCATCCATAGACCCGTCTTCCAAATATCAGCCCATATCCCTGCTTCCTTTTTCCTCAAAGCTTCTAGAAAGACTTGTCTTTACTCATATGACTCACTTCCTAAATTCCAACTCCCTCCTCGATCCTCTTCAATCTGGCTTTCGCCCCCTCCACTTTACTGAGACTGCTCTTATTAAAGTTACAAATTACCTAATCACAGCCAAATCCAAAGGCCACTACTCCATACTAATTCTTTTTGACCTTTCTGCTGCTTTTGACACTGTTGATCATGGCCTCCTTCTCCTAACTCTTCAATCTCTTGGTCTCTGTGACACAGCCCTCTCATGGTTCTCCTCCTATCTCTGCCAAAACGCTCCTTTAGTGTCTCTTTTTCCAACAGTACCTCCTCTCCTCTTCCTGTCTCAGTCGTAGTCCCAGTTGGTCCCCTTTTGTTCTCTCTCTATACTGCCTGTCTTGGCAAACTCATTAATTCATTTGGATTCCACTACCACCTGTACGCTGACGACACCCAGATATCTCTCCTCCCCTGACTCTCCCCTGCTGCCCCACAACATGTCACCAATTTTCTTTCTTCTATCTCTGATTGGATGTCTTACACTTTCTAAAACTCAATCTCTCTAAAACTGAGTTTCTTAATTTTTCCTCCTCATAACACCGATCCTCCTCCTTCACTCTCCCTGCAGGTTGAAGGTACCTGCCTCACCCCATCCTTTCAAGCTCGCTGTCTTGGTGTCACTTTTGATCCAGGCCTCTCCTTTGTGCCTCATGTCCAGTTTGTTGCTAAAACCTGTTGATTCCAACTTAAAAACATTGTCCGCATACACCCCTTTTTTACGCAAGAGGCTGCCAAGGAGCTTGTTAATGCTCTAGTAATCTCTTGCATCGATTACTGTAATTCTCTCCTAATTGGTCTCCCCAGAAGCCGTACTGCTCCCCTTCAATCTGTGGTGAAGGCTGATCTTTCTCTCCTGTCGCTCCTCTCACATCTCACCCCTCTGTCGATCCTTACACTGGCTTCCTATCCCCTAAAGCTCTAACCAACTCTAGCCCCTCTTACATTTCTTCACTGATTCCTAGGTTTGCCCCCTCTCGGTCTCTCCGCTCTACTGGTGACCTTCTCCTGTCTGCTGCTTGCAACCTTACTGCAAATTAATGCCTGCAAGACTTCTCAAGGGCAGCTCCTTTCCTTTGGAACAGCCTGCCTACCCTGTCAGTCTCTCCCCTAGTCTTCAATCATTTAAGAAGTCCCTCAAAACCCATCTTTTCAGGAATACTTACAGCCTCTAAAAGTAACTTCTATCTCTCAATCCTTCCTCTTGCTCTCTCCTTTAGGGTCCCACTCCACTCTCACCTCCAGCTCTGCTACTTTCCCACCATGTCGATTTGCTGTCTTCCTCAATACCCTTCCTATTGTGTTTTTATACTCCACCTCCTCTAGACTGTAAGCTCATTTGAGCAGGGTCCTCAACCACCTATTGTTCCTGTTACATTTTGTTATTGTCTCATTTGGTAAATATCCCTTTTACTATAAAGCGCTGTGGAATAAGCTGGCGCTGTTTAAATACCAATATTAATAATAATAATAATAGTAATCCATTTATTCTGTAGTATTTTTTGTAGTACACTGAGTATTACACAAGATGGCACCAGAACACAAAAAATGTAAACACTGGAGGCTAATGCACACCATTTTCTTCGGTTCGATTGCATTTACAGTGAGAAGAAAATATTGAACAGTGTTACTAAATTCAAGTATTAAAAAAATTAAATCCAGTCATTATTATAGAGATACAACTATAATAGTGAGTATAATGGATTTACAATTGTCCTGCATACATGTTTTTGTGGGCATTATGCTGAGTACACTGAATACCAATTCAAAGATTTTAGATGCTGTAATATGTCCCAGTCATTGCTTTAAAAAAAAAAACAGAAACTACTAAAAAGTATAGAATGTTGGAAACACATCATACTGTCAGAAACAAGCAAAATTTACAGCGGAAACTGGAAATCACTATATCTCTATATGTCCTGTTAGCACTGAGTCTTGCAATCATTCCTGTGAATAGGTAATGTACTTCAGTCACATGATAATAGATAATGGTTAGTGAGTGTTAGTGTGTGTGTGTGTTAATGTGTGTGTCTGTTAGTGAGTGTGTTAGTGCGTGTGTGTGTGTTTGTGAGGGTTAGTGTGTGTCTGTTAGTAATTGTGTTAGTGTGTGTATGTTAGTGATTGTTAGTGTGTCTGTTAGCGAGAGTGCGTGTGTGTCTGTTAGTGAGTGTTAGTGTGTCTATTAGTGAGTGTGTCTGTCAGTGAGTGTGTCTAATAGTGAGTGTTAGTGTGTCTGTTAGTGAGAGCGCATGTGTTTCTGTTAGTGAGAGTGTGTGTGTGTCTGTTAGTGAGTGTTAATGTTTATGTTAGTAAATGTGTCTGTTAGCGAGTGTGTCTGTCAGTGACATTGTGTGTGTCTGTTAGTGAGTGTGTTAGTGTACGTCTGTTAGTGAGTGTATCTTTTAGTGAGTGTAACTGAGTATTTGTGTGTGTTTGTGTGTGTGTTAGTGAGAGTTAGTGTGTGTCTGTTAGGGTGATGAGAGTGTATGTGTTTGTCAGTGAGTGTGTATGTGTGTCTGTCAGTGTGTGTGTATCTGTCACTGAGAGTCTGTGTCTGTCTGTGTAAGCATGTGTCTATGTGTATGTGTGTCTGTCAGTGTATGTATGCGTGTTTCAGTGTCTGTCAGTGTGTATATCCATGTGTGTCTCCATGTCTGTAAGTGTGTTTATGCATGTCTGTCACTGAGAGTGTGTGTCTGTCAGTAAATGTGTATGTCTGTCAGTGTGTTTGTCAGCTAGTGTATGTGTAGGCAAAAAATAATGGGGGTTTAGTTACATTACATGATCATACATTGCATAAGCCTGACACAACTTCAATGTACCCCATCGTTGGCAGGTCTTACTCTAAGAGCCAAATGTCTGCTAAATGAGCTACTTACTTGGGGAAAGAAATTCCATCTCGAGTTCTCTGCAGGACAAGGCTAAATAGGGCCCTGGGATGAGGCACCTGTGACAGGGAGGGGTGCAAAACCAAGGAGTTGGCTAAACTCCATATATATAAGTGAGAAAACCAGCACATTGTTTTCTCATATATATATGCAGCCAGCCCCTTGTTTTCTCATATATACATATGACCCTACCCCAACCCATAACCATACCCATAACTCTACCCTACCCCTAACCCTACCCATACTCCTACCCCTTACCCTACCCCTAACCCTACCACTACCCATACTCCTACCCCTAACCCTACCCCTAACCCTACCCCTTTCATCATTCACATAATTTTATTAATTTTCTATTGTTTTGTCACTTTTCCAGAAATCCGAAGCACTTCGGCACTTCAGTTCGGTTCGGCACTTCTGAAATTTGGCACTTCAGCACTTCGGAAATTTGGCACTTTGGAAGCATCCGAATGTATGAATTGCCCGAAATTTGTCTAAATTTACATTCGGAACGAAACGAATTGCACATGTCTAGTTTTAACGTTAGGGAATAAAATGACAGGACCACTGCAGCCAGATCACTTCATTCAGATAAAGTGGCCTGGGAGACTTTGATATTCCTTTAAGAAGAAGCATATCATAATAATAGCTCTTCAAGAAGAATGGAATTGTTATAACGATGCCTGTATTAAAAGAGGATGAAGAGTTTTGCAAAGGAAAAAATGATTAGTAAATTGTGTTCGCTGGATTTTCATTTCCCAAATTCCATAATGTATTCCCATTACTTAGTATTATGTGAATTCCCTGGTAGCTAGCAAGATAATACATTGTTTGTTAGAATTTTGCAGAATTTCACGATTTGAGAACAAGACATGTCGTATTATCAAATAGCTTACATCAGACTGAAGTTTAGACTTCTGAGCTTGCAGTTGACACAGGATACTCTTATATTCCTCGAGTTGAGTCTGTAATATGGGAATCCTTCTTTCAGATAGCAACTTTTCCTATGGGTATAAATAATGTCTATGAGAATAGATGTTTATCTGGTATACTATCTGTTATTCACAATTAGCACCAAAGTAAATTCAAAAGAACTATAGACCATATTAACTTCATAAACGGTTTATATGAAAAAGGCGCAATATCATTTTAGTCTAGGGCCATACTCCAATATTTATTTATTATTTATAAAATATTTTACCAGGAAAGATACATTGAGATTTCTCTCGTTTTCACGTATGTCCTATAAATATATAGCTACAGGTTATATTTCAGAAAATATGGTCCAGCTTATATCATATTAACCAATTCAGCTGTGATAGCTAAACATTGCACAAATTGTAGATTATTCACTGAACACCAAAATAACTGATTTACTAGAAATTGATATTTATTGAATAAAACTTGCTACATTTATGATTACTATCTGTCAAGTTTTTTGGACCCACTTTTTAAAACGGATGTGAAAATATCTTTGAAATATTGATGTTGGTTGAAAACAGGGTAAGTGCCCTTAATAGTATAAATTACAAAATATTCTTATCACATATAAAGAGGCATGAAGTAAACATTTTAAAAAGGAAACCACGTAATAACCAGCAAAATAATTACTACATTCTTCAAGCAAAATACACAAAACAGCTGTTTTTTCTAGGTGAGGATTGAAATGACCAATGCCATTTGTTGTGTTGATTTCATTTTTCCGATATGTTTTCTGATAAAAGCTCAGCTGCACATTATTTAATTGAATAATTATTTTAAATGATTAGATGTTTTCAAAACAATAACTGGCAGTCATGAAATTCTATTTTTGAGTGGTTGCACTTAAGAAACCTCAAGTGTTCATACACAAGAAATAATTCTTATATTGTCATTCTGGAGGAAAGCTTAATGTATTTTGTTTTGAAGTAAATATATTTTTGACAGATTTATGACACGCAGCTGGTTATCAGTACATAAGATAAAAATTGAAGAACTTATTATATCCTCTTAGATATACACTTGCCCGTATAGTAGATTACGCTCAAATGTTCACTGGCTGATGGAACTAAAAAAGCCATCAAAAAAATAAAAAACTCTTCCTGGTTATGCCCACTCTATAGAAAATAATGAACAAAACACAATAATACATTCAGCAAATGGCATAGACAGGACCAATGATTAATCGGGCATAGTTATGGTGATCAACTCTACTCCATGTGGGGTTTGGAGTGATATTATCACCAGGTAAGTGCTGAACACATTGCCCCTACATTTCCTCTACCATGTTGTGAAGTGGATAATATTTTTTTTATTAATTGTGTGTAAGAAAATATAATATCACTTTCAAATTGGTAATCAGATTTCTCCATGGATCTCATGATGAATGAGTTTGGCTGTTTGGTTATAATTTGTGATGAACCACCTCAATCATTCTTTAAAAATTCACCTAGCCAGTCAGCATCTGGGGCCCAAACTACTACAATATAAAATGGGTTGCTAACTTATCCAATCAGCTCAATATGACACTCACACATTAAGTTAAATTAACTGGATAAAAAAAAGACATTGTAGGTTCTGCTCAGTTGAGAATCAAATATGAAATAAAGATCTTCACTGAATATTTAATGTTGTTGCAACAATATGCAATGCCAATCAGTAAGGTATGGTCATGCATAAAAAGGGGCATTCATTTTTGGGATATAAATATAATTTTGCCTCAAATCAATGGTAAGACCACACTTTAAATATGCTGTGCAATTTTGGGCATCTGTTCTAAAGAAGGATATTATGGCACTATAAAAAGTGCAGACATGGTCTTAAAAATAAATTAAGGGAATGAAAGATTTTAGTTAGAAGGAACGGTTAACACATTTAAATCTGCAGTTTAGAAAAAATTTCTAGAAATCTAATCTATTCATAGGACACACCCATTTAGACTGGACGAATGGAGATTTAGTCTAAAGCAAAGGAAAGTGTTTTTGACAGTTAGAACAAAAAGGATGTCAAATTCTCTGCTTGAAGAGGTGGTTTTATCAGAGTCTGCACAGACATCTAAACAGCAACTGGATGAATACTTGCAAAAACATAATATTTAGGAAAATAATTTTTAATAAGTGGGGAGAGATCTGACTGCCATTCTGGGGCTGAGAAGCAACTTTTCCTAGTTTGTTGCAAACTTGGAAAGCACTTCAAACTGGGGTTTTGCCTTCTTTTGGATCAACAGCAAAAACAGATGTGAGAAAGGCTTAACTTGTTGGACGCATGTCTCTTTTCAGCCTATGTAACTATATATTCCATAACTTTAACACCAACCAAGCGCACTTACTTTTTTTATCATAACTCCAGTTAAAATTATCCACTAATTATAACTATGAAGAGCTTTGAAAAGACATTGAGCCAAGACACAATCAGTGAAAAGGGTTTGAAACTGAAAGGATAGAAAGAGACGACAAACAAATGCGTATAGACGGAGAGTAATGAAAGGTGACATAAAATATGAATTCATAATTATGGAAGGAGAGTAATGTAAATATATAGGTTTTACCATTTTTACCAGTAGGGGTTTATTCTCATTATATGAAAGGTGTAATGTGTATATATAATTAATTAGCATATTAGTTTGGGGTAAAAGACAGTATTTTTCTTGGTTTACATTTCAGGCTATGGATATATAACCTTACCTCATACATGCCAGCTGTAATAGCTTTCACGGGAGGAGTTGTCTGGATAATCTGTTGCAATATGTTGACATACGTCTGAATTTCCATGAGATTCTGTTGCACAAGAAACGTATTATACAGAAATGCAATATTACTTGTCTTCAAGGTCGAAGAAGAAAATACAAATAATAAATAAGTGTAAAGATTTTAGAGAAAAAATGCCAAACCCCAACAATGTTTCACTGGCAAAGGAGAGATTAAGAAACAGCTGTTTCAAATCTCAATATGTCTCAGTTGAAGCCTAAATTGAGAATGGTGTTTGCCATTTCGTTATGTGGAGATCAGCCCATTGACTGACATTTTGTTTGCAATATCATGTGAGGGTCTGGTTTGGCCGAACGTCATTCATGAAAAACTATGCACGAAAAAATGTGGTCACAAAATGGGCCGATGAGTGTATTGCAAAATATATTCCTAACCATAATATTATGATTATATTTTTCAGTATACTAATAGGCACACTTGGTTTGGTTCACAGTAGAGGGAAAAAGAGGAGGAGCAGGAAAAAGGTCTATATTTACATATCATATATATTTATTAAATAGATAATAAATAAGTATAGTTTTTTTACACTGCGCCTCCCTTTTCCCCTCTGTTGGTCAATTCTTACCTGATCTGTGAATACAATTTAAATTTAGTTGTTGTAAATTACCCATCAATCATCTTTTTTTTTTTCCATAAATCATCTGATCGACTCTATCGAGTGGGTTATGACTTATTGCACCTTGAAGAAGGGGATTTCTGTGTTGCATTTATTGGTAAACCAGAGGTGAGAGTACATTATTCTAGTTATTCTTGCTGATGCTGTGACCCTGCATTTGACATATTTTTTTATATTTTCGATAAACATTTTTTGAATACTATTTTTGCCTGGCATCTCTGGACTGCAGGTTTTATATATCGTAGTCTGTGAAGAAGTCACCCTTATGCTGGATTTACAGAGCCCGTATAGGACTCTATAATTTGTGAGTGGTTCTAAGTTTTTGTTATTATTATTATTATTATTCTACATGTTACGCTATTATATTTTCTTTTGTTGTTTTGTGCTTTTTTTGGATCTAACATTGTGATCTTTATATCTGTTGTCGATACTTATTCACCAAGGAGGAGAGTTTAGGCACTTGGGTATTTTATATTTTTTTAATCTATCGTTTTGGTTTGGTTTGGGGAGGACATATATCATTGTTTATATTGAAGTACCTTTACACTTTTTTTGTGTTCACTGCTATACATTTAGTTTTTTGGACAAATTTAGTGATCAATCAGTCACTGGCCATCAGGGATATACTGCTTTTAGGATGCCATGCTTCACTGGTTCACTGTTAGAGTACACTATTACAGTGGTTATAGTGAACCAATCATTTTTGTTTTACCTTCTTGTACCTGTCCTTTGCTGCATTAATATCATCTTGCAGGAACTGAGATTCAATTTGAAGTTCAAGATTACTTAGTAAGGCTTCATCAGCTTCCTAGAACAAAACAACCATAAATGTAATTAGGTTTACCAGCTTGTAATAATCAGATCACATTTCCAGACACGTAACAGATATGTACAGTTTATAGTGAATAAATCCAGCTTTTTTTTGTGTGAAATGCTGCATAATATTTTATCCAGAGTAGATTTGAAGTTTTAATAAATTATTTTAAAAAAATTAAAAGGATCAGAACATATAATGTGCATTATAATATGGAGTTCTAATTTACAATGCAATTAATATTTATTAAATTGTCAGCTCCTATGCTGCTAGCTAGACCTTAAGAGTTACTCCTTCCATAGCATGCCCACCAGGAGTGAACATCTACTCACTAGGACTCAATTTTCACAAGCCAATGGCTAGTGGCAAAATAAATTTTGCATTGGTTCCCCATGTTCCACAGTACAATCACCAGGTAAACATAAAGGAAACTCCACTTGAGTAAGGGGCATTTATAGGAACGAATGGGAGAGACTCGAGCACAGTCGAGCCGTTTATATTAGGGGAGAATGGATTAAAATGGCCAGGCTTACAATAAAATTAAATTAATTGTAACTCAAGTCTATTTTAACTCCCAGGTTGCTGCAAAAATAATCCATGCTTTGCTCTGCAAATTGGAACAAACATGAGAATTTCAAAACACTGTTAGTATAAACAAATGAACAAAAACATCCCTTTGACAACTCAGTAAAAATACATGAGAAATTGTAATAGGCTACCAGTTCCTCTATGAATGAAATGGCCGTTCCATGCTCACTTTCCTCCCCTGAAAATATGAGATTAAAAGACTGAATACAATTCACAAATGATTCCACCTGTTCAATGATGGTAAGCAAGAACTTAAACGGATACTGTAGCCAATATAACTAATTAATCTAACTGGATTTATTAAAGGGATGACAATCTACACTCAAAGTCAAAACAGTTTAAAGCTGATGGCACTAAATACGGATTCCTGGCCACCTACAGCCTGGCAACTACTGTTGGTAAAACTAAGGCAGAGATTGTACAATTCATTATAACCATGCTGATTAATAGCAGCAATGGTCTCTGTGAAAGGTTGAAAGCAGTTAGTTGACAGTATCAGCCAAGCACTGCTGCCATTGTTTCTCAGGCTATGGCTTCCTCATTGCCCAAGCCGCAGTGCGGGATTGGCTGCTGGGAACTCTTGTTATGCATTAAAACATTAATAACAGTTTAACAGTGAATATAAGGACAGTGCCAGGGGACTCCAGACACTATAACCACTTTAACGAAATAATAAGCAAACGAACAAACAGATACCTTTTCTTTTCAGCTAGAAGTATTAGAGTATTATATTATTTGTTTTATTTCCCAAAATTTTGAAAAAGACAGATATGAAGATTAGCACATTAAAGGCTGTTGAAGACATGTGAACTGTGTAGTTATGATTTGGAAGCAGTTCATGTAATGTTTTATTTATGTTACTTATTTGCTTATTGTTTTCTATAGTTTAGTTCAATTACAGAGGAGTCAGGAGCAAGTTTACAGTATACAAATGCAAAGAAAAGGTAAATCGAAAGGAACTGACTAGTCAACCAGTCATCTGGTGGCATCTGGGTGGGAAATAAGCAAAGTTCTAAAGAATCTGTATGTGTGTATATAGTAGTTTGCCATAGGAGTTTGTGTAGCACATCATTATTAATTTCTGGGAATTATCAATAATTATCAAAATGGGTTAATCAGTGCTGGTCCATCTAGCAGAGGAGATACATATTTTTTTTTATAAATCTTCTGACCGCAAGCTTGCAACCATGTACCATCATATTTTCCTGTTTTTTTATTTTATTTTTTTATAGAACATAAAACAGCAGAATTGCATTCAAAATGGAGCTCTTAAGCTTCAAACTAGGTTACTGGTCTATTAATAAAACTGTACATCCATAAAGAATGCAATTTGGTAATAATACTGGAATTGAAAATACAGTTTTTTAATATTTTGGATTTTGAATTAGTTCTGTATTTATTATACTTTTCCAACTAGAATTATTAAAATCTCTGAATTAGAGAATACGTTCCGTAAATATCCATTTTCCAAACATAAATATTTTATTTGATAACTAAGGCAGTGATTTGCATTTACTGGTGATCACTTGTTCAATTGCAAATAAAATGCCTTAAAAATCCATAACGAGATCTTTCAACATACATGTATATAGCAATCAACTTAATTTGCAAATTGATGCCATGGTGTCCAGATCTACAATTAAATCAGAGCAAGATAACCCACTCTGCTATTTTAATATACGACATGCTGAAGGAGAGCTAATAAAACATTTAAATTAAAGTGTATTTCCCTCTTATTATGATGTGATTGACGTACCATTGCTACCCAAGGGTTGAAATATAATATTATCAAGTACGACTCAACAGACAACTTTTTATTAATAATTTTAATTGTAAATCCATTTAACAAAAATGTTATTACTGTCCTTTTTATGGATAGTAAGACATTTTTGCATACATTTCAAAGATATAGACACTGAAGGGTATTTTACACGGGGCATCTGAACACTTTTCATATAACCATAAAATTTCCAGACAGTCGCCAGAGATGTTTACTATTATGATCCTGCAAGCTTTGCAGGACTGATGTTCGGCACCTTGAAGCTCTGCGTAAAGACACCAAACACTCCCGGCAGACATCATTGGGATAAGAAAAAGGATAAGAAGAGATGCTGATAGGTGCAGTGCGCATGCACTGGATTGGCTGAGATAATCAGTAATGGAGATCTCAGCCAGGGGTTAATGGCTATAGGTTGAGAATATATCTAAATAGGTTAGGAATATATCTCATTTTAGAAATGTTTGTATTTCTAATGTTAGAGTTCTCTTTTAACTAAAACTAGATGTTTCAGTGGGTACTAGAGTAAACAGCCCTAAGAAATATAGATATATAGCACTCACAATGAGGAAATAATATTCAGGCATATCTCCCAGTATGGGGTATATTTTGCTAAATTTTAGTGCAATTTATATTTCTTATTTCTGTGATATTTTAACTCTATAAACTGATGTGTGGTTCGTTCTCTTGTATGTTCACAATACCATCATGAGTTATCACTGCAGAAGGACTTTGTTACTGTTATATTATTCCGGTCCAGTACTTTTCCTGGTTATTCCATAGTGGTAGGCTCATATGCTTATGTAAGTGTTTGTCATCACGTAGGGGACGGTTATTTGTATCACTTTGAAGTTTTGGTTTATGTGATTTTTTTTTCTCCGTTTTAGTTTGTACAATATCATTTGTGTTTTGGGTATATTGCTAGTCACTTTTAACTCTGAATTTGTCTGAGGGGGTATTTACATATTTTCATTGCGATATTTATAATGTTTTGCTTATTTTCCACAATAAATAAATTTAATGTTGTTGGGTCACACACCATCTGCAGATGACTCCATCATATTTTGCATTTATAAGATGATACTTGGGTGTTTTCCTTGCTGGTATGCAATTGTTGAAATATCAGTTTTAATAAATGTGAGTTAATTAAGAATATTTGATGTTTGTTGAGATATGATTCCCAAGAGAACCATATAGAAACCACAACTGCTGCATTGCTGTACATGCAGTTTTTTTTAACTAAAATGAGAATTTAAAGTGAATTCAAAGTGAATTTCAAATGAAATGTCAGGCTAGCCAAACATTGCTGGCTAGATAAATCTTTCCAAATTGAATAATTTGACCTTAAATATGAAATTCACTTTGAATTCACTTTAGTAAATACAAAATCTATGTTGACAATACAACCATGTGACCAATATTCACATTCCAAACTCAAAAGGGAGTGCAATTCAATGCTGGAAAATGTTGCCAATGTGTTTGAATATTTTGTAGGCTTAGTGTATATCTTCAAACAGATAAAAAAAAAAAAAAAAAAGGAATAATTAGTTACAACCTAATAATTGATTTAAATGTGAATTCAGTTATTTGTAAACAATCTACAATAGGCAGATGGACATGACGACTTACCTTGTTAAGACGTTCTAGATTGTCTTTGAGAAGCTGCTGGTACTCAAATTCATTTCTGTATCTGTTAAGGCCAAATTAAATGGCTTGTTAAAATAATTCTGGCAAAATGACTAGAAAAAGGCAGTACTTGATGTACAAAGGAAAAACATTAAGCATCCAAAACAATCCACTGGACAAAAATAATGATAATCATAATTTTGTATAATTATGTAATATGCAAAACTGAGAAAAAATAATAAGTAAACTTTTTCATGGTTTGCTTTATAATTCTTCGTAGCTAGTGCTAAACTTTGTGCGACAGGTCATACATTACAAGGAGCCCATTATTGTTTCAAACAATAACATTTTTTATAAATGTAATATAAAGGGATTGTAAAATTCTTGATGGTTCCCAAAATTAAAATGTATACATAAAGGTGCAGGATTTATGTCTTTATTTAGTTTAACGGTTTTTATTTTCACTTACATTGCAAAAAAATCGATATTGGTAGGTATTTATATGTAACGGCACCCTCAGCATAAAAGGGTTAAACCGCCGTTTAGTAGATCTTCCCCTTTCAGACATACAGGCACAGCTACTGCAGAACACCAAACTCCCAAACCGCATATAAGGGAATGCTCTAAACTCCCGAACTGCATACAATATAGCACTCCAAACTCCCGAACTGGAACCTCACGAATAGCTGCTAGCAGACGAATAGGAAAAGCACCCAAGCGGCTTACACTCCTAGCAATCAGTCTCTATCAGCATACAGTAAATCCCCCCAAAGACGAGACAAGGCTCTGGATTGAGGGTCAAGCAGTGGTCTGTTTAATGAGGGCTACCTGCCCAGTATTTATGCAGGTGGAAACTCCCCTAGTGGACCAGATGGAAGACTGTGACAAAGACAGACATGAACCAATGACAGACACACAGAGGTAAAACATCCCCACAATGCATCCTAACTTCCCTCCCTCTGTCCTGGAGATAATTGGGAAGTAATCCAATTATCTCCCAGGACAGAGGCAAAACTCCATTACTCACATGGCTACAACAAAACACTAAAATACAACAAAATACACAATATTACATTTGTCACACAAAATATATACATGCAACCCATCCCCAGATAACTGGGATCTGAGCGCACAAAAGTACCGAATAGCGCTCAGATCCTATGCACACAGTTCAATCGCCGTGGAGTCAAACTGTGTTCACAAAGTCTGTTCTCCATACGAATAGACTGATATAATTGTTGAGTGTGGTAGGGGACCTCATTTACAGCAGTGATTATTAACCCAACATTCATTTATGCTTGAGATAATTAAGAATTAATTTCATTTAAACTGATGAGAATGATACATTTGTTAAGCTAAAGGGACATGCTAAAATTGATCCCCATTTTTTTCAACACAGTATATTAATAGTGTATTTATATATACATGTAATGAAATTAAATCTAAATAACTTTAAATCTGCTGCTGCTTTGCCCTGAATTGTAGTCTACAAAAATCTAAAAAAAACACATTTTTTTCCTTTTATGGTTTGATTCTGTTAGATTAAATTATCCTTTCTCAAGTAATTAAATAGTAGTTTTCCCATAGTTTTCAATCCCAACAGATAAAGTCATCTCATCCAACAGAATCTAGGTTTTAATGAGGATAGACTGGTTGCCAGCCTCAAAAAAACCACAGACAGACAGCCACAAGAATGGACTTTCTCCTCCACTGACCTAGTAAAATACATCTACAATCCCAGTCAATACACCCACTCACCCAGTCAATACAGTCTTATCATATCAATACATCCACTCACTTCGTCAATACAGTCTTATCCAGTCAATACATCCACTCACTTAGTCAATATAGTCTAATCATGCCAATATATCCACTCACTATGTCAATAAAGTCTTATCCTGTCAATACATCCACTCTTATCCAGTCAATACAGTCACTCACCCAGTTAATACAACCTCTTATCCAGTCAATACATCTACACACCCAGTCAATTCAGTCTTATCCTGTCAATACATCCACTCACCACGTCAATACAGTCTTATCCTGTCAATACATCCACTCACCACGTCAATCCAGCCTCTTATAATATCAATATATGCACTCACCTAGTCAATACAGCCTCTAACCCAGTTATTATAACCTCTTATCTAGTCAATACAGCCACTCATACAGTGAATACAGCCTCTTTTCTAGTCAATATAGCCTCTCACCTAGTCAATACAGCCATTCACTCAGTCAATATAGCCACTCACCCAGTCAATATAGCCACTCACACAGTCAATATAGCCACTCACCTAAACAATACAGCCACTCACCCAGTCAATATAGCCACTCACCCAATCAATACAGCCACTCACACAGTCAATATAGCCACTCACCTAAACAATACAGCCACTCACCTAGTCAATACAGCCACTCACACAGTCAATATAGCCACTCACCTAAACAATACAGCCACTCACCCAGTCGATCAAGCCACTCACCCAGTCAAGACAGCCATTCACCCAGTCCATATAGTCCATATCCAGTTCATACAGCCACTCACAATTTACATGTTACACTACTTACCAAATAGATATGTATATATACCTCCACACTCAAGTTCAGTACAATATTGGTCCGTGGGCTGAACAAAATATCAGTTTTACTTTAGCAGAGGACACTTCCTCAGTGGCTTCTGCTGAAGAAGCTGCTGGGATTTTAATATTTATTTAAACAATGGGGAATTGATATGAAAAAAAATAAAAGACTGCAAAGATAAAAGATTAACCCTTTAGAACTTCCAATTTGATGTGATATATGTAAAGTAGATACCCGAAGGTATTTTTCTAGAGTTACTTTTACACTTTTCATCTGGCTATTCTGCTACCAATGTCTGATACATCGTTTTAAAATTTTATGTAATTTTTTTGTACTCACACACAAAACATTGGATTTTTGATGTGCATTTTGTTTATCAGTTGTGTGGTACTTTATTAAGAAAGTACAAATTGTGCAGAGTTACATCGCCCGAGTAAAGGAATAATCCACATTTATACCTGTTCCAGGTTTTTGAGATACTATATTACATAGTTACATAGCTGAAAAGAGACTTGCGTCCATCAAGTTCAGCCTTCCTCACATTTGTTTTTGCTGTTGATCCAAAAGAAGGCAAAAAAACCCAGTTTGAAGCACAATTTTGCAACAAGCTAGGGAAAAAAATCTTTCTTGACCTCAGAATGGCAGTCAGATTTATCCTTGGATCAAGTGGTTATTACCCTACATTGAAAGATTATATCCTTGAATATTCTGTTTTTGCAAGTATGCATCTAGTAGCTGTTTGAACATCTGTATGGACTCTGATAAAACCACTTCTTCAGGCAGAGAATTCCACATCCTGATTGTTCTCACAGTAAAAAAGCCTTTCCTTTGCCTTAGACAAAATCTTCTTTCTTCCAGTCTAAATGCATGGCCTCGTGTCCTATGTAAGGTCCGGTTTGTGAATAGATTTCCACACAATGGCTTGTATTGTCCCCGAATATATTTGTATAATGTTATCATATCCCCTCTCAGGTGACGTTTTTCTAAACTAAATAGGTTTACATTTGTTAACCTTTCTTCATAGCCGATATGTTCCATTCCTTTTATTAATTTTGTAGCCCGCCTCTGCACTTTTTCTAGTGCCATAATATCCTTCTTTAGAACAGGTGCTCAAAATTGCACAGCATATTCAATATGGGGTCTTACCAGTGATTTATAAAGAGGCAAAATTATATTCTTGTCCCGAGAATGAATGCCTTTTTTCATGCATGACAATACCTTACTGGCCTTGGCCACTGCTGATTGACATTGCACATTGTTGCATAGTTTGTTGTCGATAACAATTCCCAAGTCCTTTTCATGTGTTGTTATCCCCAATTCGCTTCCATTAAGGGTATACGTTGCTTGTGTATTCTTTACGCCGAAGTGCATAACTTTGCATTTTTCAACATTAAATTTCATCTGTCATTTGAGTGCCCAGTCCCCCAGTCTATCTAAATCCCTCTGCAGCAAAGTGATATCTTGCTCACATTGTATTATTTTACAAAGTTTTGTGTCATCTGCAAACACTGAAACATGACTTTCAATGCTGTCTTCAAGATCATTTATAAACATGTTAAATAGAAGGGGTCCCAGAACAGACCCCTCAGGGACACCACTTGCCACCTCTGTCCAGCTTGAAAATTTACCATTAATGACAACTCTTTGTACTCTGTTTTTAAGCCAATGTTCTACCAAAGAACAAGCATTTTCATCTAGACCGATTTCCTTGAGTTTGAACACTAATCTATTGTGTGGAACTGTATCAAATGCCTTGGCAAAATCCAAATAGATCACATCCACTGCAACACCCTGATCTATACTTCTACTTACTTCTTCGTAGAACGCAATCAAGTTAGTTTGACATGACCTGTGCTTCATAAAACCGTGCTGATTTTTTGCTGATAACCATGTTCTTCTCAAGGAATTCTTGAATATTATCCCTTAATAACCTTTCAAATATTTTCCCAGCCACAGAAGTTAAGCTCACAGGTCTATAATTTCCAGGCAAGGATTTTGAACCTTTTTGAATATAGGAACCACATCTGCCTTCCTCCAATCCTCCGAAACACTTCCTGAAAGAAAAGAATCTTGAAAGATTAAAAACAGAGGTTCACTTATTTCTGCACTTAGTTCCTTAAGTACACGTGGATGGATACCGTCAGGCCCTGTAGCTTTATTTATATTAACTTTTTTTAGTTGCTGCAGCACCTTGTCTTGAGCTAACCAATTACAATTATTCTTCAAGTTTTTAGTAGCATTCATTTGCACATCTATTGCCATGGGTTCTTTCTTAATATATACGGAGGAGAAATAGTTATTTAAAATTCCTGCCTTTTCCTGGTCTTCATTAATTAACACCCCCGTTTCAGTTTTTAGTGTACCTACACTTTCATTTTTGTTTTTTTTAGAATTTATGTACTTAAAAAATGCTTTGGGGTTGGTTTTGCTCTCTTTAGCTATCATTTTTTCATTTTGAAGTTTAGCAAGTCTAATTGCCTTTTTACACGCATTATTTGCTTCCTTATATCTTTTATAAGATGCATCCGATTTGTCCGATTTAAATGCCCTTTTCTTATTTTTAATCTCTTGTTTTACTTCTCTACTAAACCACATTGGTTTTAATTTGTTTCTTTTATATTTATTTCCCAATGGTACATACTGAGAAATGTACCTTTCTAATATTTGTTGGAAGATGATCCATTTATCCTCAGTGTTCTTTTTACTAAAGAGTTTATGCCAGTCAATATATTGTAAAGCTGCCCTTAACTTATTGAAATTGGCCTTTTAAAAATTATATGTTTTAGTATACCCCATGTGCTTTAGTTTTTTTGAGTTTATTTCAAAGGACACTATATTGTGATCACTATTTCCCAAGTGCTCACCTACTTGAATGTTGGTCAAAAGATCAACGTTGTTTGTTAAAACCAGGTCCAGACAAGTGTCCATTCTAGTTGGTGCTTGTACAAGTTGTGACATAAAGGTGTTATTTACCAAGTTTAAAAAGCTAATTCCCTTTGCTGAGCTACTAGTCCCTCTGTCCCAATTTATGTCCGGGTAATTCAAATCTCCAATAATTATTGTTACCCAGATTTGCAGCTTTCTCACTTTGCTCAAACAGCTGTTGTTCCTCGTCAATATTAACATTAGGTGGTTTATAACATATCCCAACCAATAGTTGGTTTCCCTTCTTTTCCCCCAAGCAGATATTTACCTATAAAGCGTGGCACAGGTAATATCTCAGAGAATACCACCTTGGAGGTCCTTTTCTTAAGTTTACTACCTAATTCTCTGAAATCATTCTTTAGGACCTTCCATCTTCCTCTTACATTGTCATTGGTACCAACATGGACCATGACCGCTGGGTCATCCCCAGCCTCTCCCAATAATCCATCCACTCTGTCAGCAACATGCCGGACCCGAGCACCCGGGAGACAGCAAACTGTCCGGTTTAGCCGATCAGAGCAGCAGTTTGCCCTATCTGCTCTCCTAATGATAGAGTCCCCTACCACCACATCCTGTCTTGCCTTCCTTACATTTTGATCCCCACCCATACTAGGGGGGCTGTTACCTCGGATGTTACAAGTAACAGCTTCCTCTAATACAGCTACTCCTGAGCTGATGCTCCCAACATCTGCACTCAAATGGGCAAATCTGCTAGGTTGCACCAAATCAGGACTAGCTAGCCCTTTCCTCTTCCCTCCCCCCCAGCTTCCTCGCCCCACTGTCACCCAGCTACATGCCTGTTCCCCATCTGTCTTATCTCCTCCCTCTCCACTACCTGTCCCCACTAAACTCTGCTCAGTGAGCAGTAGACTCCTCTCAAGATTATCAATCTCCCTCAAAGTTGTGATTTGCTTCTCAAGATCTCCAATCTGAGCTTCCAGAGAAGCCACTCGCACACAACCATCACAGAGGTATGGACCCTGGACGGGTACATCCAGGCATCCATACATGCAACAAGATGTGCATTGAGTCAAACCAGCAATCTTGCTAACACTCATTTCCCCAGATACAGAACAATAAAACAATTAGCTTGTTAGTTTCAACTCCTGGTTTTCTAACTCCTACTTGAAAGAGTCTACTTCATAGAGGCTGCTTTCAAGTAATGAGAGCAAGCAAATCCCACACAGGTGCAATTAATGTACACTCCCCCAATCAATCAAGCAGCAGCACAAAAAAGGGGGGGAAACCAGAACACAGAAAAAAAATTTTACTAAAAAATTAAAAAATTAAAAAACAAAACTTTTTTTTTTTTAAACTTTACCAATTGAATAGATTGAACAAAAATACAATACAAACCACTCTCCACAGTATACAAACCACTCTCCAATGAACTCCTGGTTTTCTAACACTCTTCAATGAACTCCTGGTTTGCAACACAAATAGTGACAACAGTTATGTTAATGTGTCAACAAATGTAGTTCAAACCAATTAATTACAAATGTATAAGACACACATTCAAAGTGTATTGAAGGTGCAGGTCACACTGATAATTACACCTTGTAAGTTTTTATTTCCATTCAGTCACAGACAGAAGCTCTCCGCTGCGGCACTGAAAGAGTTTTGGCCCATTTGTAGTTGCTATGGTAATTTATTGTTCCAAGTACTTTTCTTTCAATGTTCACAATTGTAATCTCTTTGTTGTTCGGTAGACATTAATAGCAGTAGGCCATTAAAAAATGGCAACAAAGTTTCCTGTAATATTTATCGGATGTTGTTGTTAACAACAGCTTAAAGCAGATTTTTACTGGAAAGGTTGGAATTGGGTTCTAAATTGCATATACTTCATTATCCGAGACTCCCAAACATTCATCTATTTGGCAACTGTATCGTGAATTTGTGCTGCAAATTTTTTTTACAGATTTTATGTGCCAAGTTTTATTATAGATTTAGTATGTGGACAGTGCTTTTACATTTTTTTCACGCATGCTGTTGTGTATTTTTTGTATACTAGTTTCAAGGACCTTCTAGATAGTTTATGTTTATTGTGGACACAGTTCAGTAAGGCTAAACATTGACCTGGGTGAAGTAGAGAACACCTCCTCTTCAAATGGGTGGATTTTTCATGCAATACCACCACAGGTGGAAATATGTGGTTGTCTGAGGAACACTCCCTCGAACAAAGCAGAGAAGCCATGCGATAGGATTTAACTTCACAGGGGCCAGACTGGCTTGAAGGGCCACAACAGCGACAACAAGCTTTTCACTGAGAAAACATAGTATTGTGACATGAATGGTACTGGCACATTTTTAAGAATATTACAAGAAAACAAGGAAAATATAGTAAACTGTTAATTACAGAAGCGTACGTATTAGCTGCCCACTCCTTTATAAAATGCTAGGCCGGTCGTGGTGACTGGAGGGAGTGAAAAGCTGTAGATGCTTCATTAAAGATAAGAGGAAGCGAGGCGCGTATCACCTAGAGTAGTGAGGCTGATACACCCACGTATAATTGGTATCTGGTCAAACTAAATATAATCAAGTTGGTGGGGGGGGGGTAATGGAGAGTAAAGTGGGTGAAAAACCCCTAAGGCCAGCAGGAAGTAGTATAGTAAGGCGCTAACTGTGTACCCAGGAACACGGTCTGTGCCACAGATATGTACGAACATGTACGAACAGCAGAAATGAAGGACTCTGGCTTTCTCACACACTATCAAAACATTTTATAAAGACACATCTTAATGTCTTATTTAGTTCTTTTTCAATATTCTCGTTTCACCTTTATTGGATCAATTTGCATATGTACATGTGTGCAACTGTGTGCTTGCATGCCCTGCTCTGCTGGTTTTTGTTTTTGTTTTTTGTAATTTTTTTCTTTTTAGCTAGCTTGTTTACTCTCCTCTGTTTGTTTACTTTTTCTGGGTGTTCACGGGCGGCCTGTGCCTTTTACTTTCGGACACATCTTCTGCTATTTATGACACCCCACCTCCCCTCCCTCCCCTTCTTTAACATCAGTTGTTTTAAGTGTTAAACTCTATCAGATTGATCAGTATTGCTTCAGGCCTAAAGAAGAGAGGAAAACTCTCAAAAGCTTGTATTTAAAATATGTTAGTCCAATAAAAAAGGTATCATTGCATTCTGCAATACTCCAAGACTGGTATTTTGGTATCTTGACTACTGGGCTAAAACGGCTAATCCAATCTAGTGTGTGTGTGTGTGTGTGTGTGTGTGTGTGTAAGTAGATATAATGCTCATTTAAAATTAATATAGTTACCTTTCTAAAACCAGAAATCTGTATTTAATTAGGGAACTACAGACTGCAATCGAAGCCTTCATGCATGTCCTCTACCTCAATGTGGCTGTTTTTTTATCCCATGAGAAAGGATTAAACAAAAATGTAGCAGTATTTATGCATCTTTTTATAATGAAGAAAAATCTTACTTGGTTTTAAATTCATCAACCATTCTTTGGGCATCCTTATACTCCCGTTCAAGTTTAGATCGATCAGAGGATAACTCCCGAATTCTCTGCCGATTCAGCTCAATCTGTTCCGCAAATGCTTCCTCCAAGCCAGACATTTCATCCATTCTCTGGAATGTCTCCAGCTGCTTCCTGAAGATGGCATTTCTTTGTTCTAGCACCCTAGCGCGATTTATATAATTGGCAAACCTTTCATTTAGATCCTGCAGGTTTCCTAGGCCTTGAGCCTGATCTATGCCAAGGTTGCTAAAATCTACCAGACTTTGCTCATCAAGTCCATCAGATCTTTCATATTTCTTCTTATGCACTTTGTGCAAATAGCTCGTTTTATACATGTTTCTATCTTTCTTCTATAGAACTTTCCCCTCTCGCGGCCAAACCAATCTGAGCAAATGTCTAATTGACATGGACTAAAACCTCCCCAGGCTCTCTGTCAGTGTAGAATGCGATCTGCGATTACTAACTAAATGAAATAAAATTCAAAGCTATTGGCCACAAGGGGATTGTTCTCTTCCATTCTAACATTTAGTCAGCGTTTATTTTGTTCCATTGACTACAATTGTTTGTTTAAAGCACTTTCCCCACCCTCTCTTCTCCCCTGTATACAAAGGACAAGATTAACACATACAAAAAAAGTGCATTGCTATTTGCAAAGTACAAATCAAAATACATGATTTTTGTTCTTCAAAATCTGTATCTTTCCAATTTTATTGTATAGTTATTTTATACTATATTTGCCAAGCTAGTTTCAGAGCCCAGAATCCAATGTTTAGTGTTCAGTGAATATATCCATGTTATGCTGTTATGATGAGATAGTTATTTTTATTAATTGAATTCCATAAAATAATTATGCAATACTACACATAATTCAATCACATTAAGCCTCTGATTACAGAGTGCTCTATTATGGCAATCACACACATGTCACAGTCTTGATTAATATATAAATGAGATAAGTTCAATGCCATAATTTAACAATAAGTATTGAACATAAATTGACCAATAAATATTGAATTAAAATAGTTCAAATAAATGTAATTAAACTAAAGGAAAATTAAGACAGAAATAAATAAATACATAATACACATAGTATCAAAATAAATTGACAAGTTTCTGCTAGAAAACTAAGGTCTTTTTTTTTTAGATCCTCCAGCAGTCCTTATATTGGTGGTTCAGTGTCGGTTTCAGAGTCCTGTCCTGATGTAGTTCCTGGGTGTCCTGCATCCAGGGACACCAGGCAACTGTCTTCAGGCAGCACAGCAAGACCACATCATTAGATGTGCTTGAGCTCCGCAAGTGCACTCAGATCGTGCAGAGAGTGCTTCGACAGCACTGTCTGCATGGTCCTGAATGCTGGGCCCCAGGCAGACAGGACCTTTCAGTTTTTCAGTGGGTGGGCCTGCACCTTTTTCCGTCAGTTAAACATATTGTGGACAACTTGTATCACTAGATACTTCCCCTCTCAGGCACGCTTACCTGTCCCAATATGCGTTCCTCCCAATGTTGGGAAGCATGCTACCTATTACTGTCTAACCTAGTAAGGATAGATCCCAATGATTGTTGTAGAGCCAGCAAAGAGCCACTGTTAGCTCCTCCATTAGCAGGACAAACAATGCAATTTAAAGGAACACTATAGCATTTGGAATTCAAACATGTATTCCTACCACTATAGTTTCAATCTATCTTTATAAGTATCCTTCCAGCCACGTCAGAGCTTAAAGGGTGAGATTTACTTACCTCTCGCCACATGGGTCTCCATCCTGTTGGCATGTCTTTTTGGCTGAGGTTATAAAGATTGATGACCTCAGCCAATCTAATGCTTCCCCAAAAGAAAGGCTAGTGCACATGTTCAGCAAAACACAGCACTGCGACAATCAGATGGTTTCTCTGACACCATCCAATTGAATACCTTAGTTTCTCTTAACTTTTTTAGCAAAAGTGTCTCTAGCGGCTGTCAGTGTGACAACCACTAGCAGAATTTAAACCTTTTAAGACAAACATTGCCATTTCTGCAGAATGCCAATGTTTTCCCTTGCAGAGTTAAGACAACAGGGACCTGGAACCCAGACCACTTCATTGAGAACAAGTGGTCTGGGTGCTTATAGTGTCCCTTTAATGTAAAATCAACAATGTATACTTTGTCCATAGTGTCCCTTTAAATAAATCTTTTTAGCACAATATTGGTTCCTTAGAACAAAAAGTTTTCACTGAGCAAAAATATAAAGTAAAGGTCAGTGATCTTTCAAACGGTTATCAAATGTTTAGTGAAGTTTGCAATGAGCAGACCTTTAAAAGCAGAGAAATGATTCATCAGATCAAACCGTTAATATTATTGGAATGTCTGGTTAGTCTTATTTATTTGCTGCCCTTTGAGGAACATTCTGAATTATTATATTGTGTCTTGCTTATTTTGATTTATTCCTCTTGCTGTCAATTGTTTTCATTCACTCAGTTTCTTCTGTAGCACATTTTATGATGTTTTGTACTTTCACTTTTAATTAATTAGAATTTTGTAGCCAATTGATCACCAAGACGTTGGGCCATTTTTGCTAAAACATTTGTTGCAGGTCAGTGAGAAATTGTCAATTTCATTATTGGCTGCTGTTATAGATACCCAGATTAGCTGAATAGAGTGTACTTTCTATTAGTCTATACATGGATAGTAGCACTGACAGTATAATTGTGTATCACCGCTGTAGTGGTTCTGATGCCAGGAGTATCCTAGCTGACAGCAGCAGAGTGTCCTCCCGTGGCCAGTGACAACGTATGGTGGAGGAATTCAATCATACTGGCCATTCATTGGCTGAGAGTGCCAGGTGACTGCTCTCAGCTAATAAATGCAATTCTGTGCATAGGAATATTCATATAATTTACATTAGCTTATGATGTCCCAGTGATGTGGCTGAAAGTGGAGTTACACCTCTGGCAGCAAAGGGATTCAGCGCCATAGCTGCAGCATTTCAAAGTGAAACACACATATAGACTTCAAGCACCATGACAACTTCAAATCACCGAGATGCCCATTGTGCTTGGAATAACCCTTTAATATCAAGAGCCGTAGAACAATTCTGGAGCAAATCATTTGGAGAGGCATGTAATGGGAGAGGCTTAGAGCAAAGCACTAAGACAAACATGTATTAGGAGAGACAAGACGCAAAGCACTAAGACAGACATGTATTAGGAGAGACAAGGAGCAAAGAACTAAGAGAGATGTATTAGGGGGGACAATGAGCAAAGCACTAAGACAGACATGTACTAGGAGAGACAAGGAGCAAAGCACTAAGGCAGACATGTATTAGGAGAGACAAGAAGCAAAGCACTAGGGCAGACATGTATTAGGAGAGACAATGAGCAAAGCACTAAGACAGACATGTATTAGGAGAGACAAGGAGCAAAGCACTAAGACAGACATGTATTAGGAGAGACAAGACGCAAAGCACTAAGACAGACATGTATTAGGAGAGACAAGGAGCAAAGAACTAAGAGAGATGTATTAGGGGGGACAATGAGCAAAGCACTAAGACAGACATGTACTAGGAGAGACAAGGAGCAAAGCACTAAGGCAGACATGTATTAGGAGAGACAAGAAGCAAAGCACTAGGGCAGACATTTATTAGGAGAGACAATGAGCAAAGCACTTAGACAGACATGTATTAGGAGAGACAAGGAGCAAAGCACTAAGGCAGACATGTATTAGGGGAGACAAGAAGCAAAGCACTTAGACAGACATGTATTAGGAGAGACAAGGAGCAAAGCACTTAGACAGACATGTATTAGGAGAGACAAGGAGCAAAGCACTTTGACAGACATGTATTAGGAGAGACAAGGAGCAAAGCACTAAGACAAACACGTATTAGGAGAGACAAGACGCAAAGCACTAAGACAGACATGTATTAGGAGAGACAAGATGCAAAGCACTAAGACAGACATGTATTAGGAGAGACAAGGAGCAAAGAACTAAGAGAGATGTATTAGGGGGGACAATGAGCAAAGCACTAAGACAGACATGTATTAGGAGAGACAAGGAGCAAAGCACTTAGACAGACATGTATTAGGAGAGACAAGGAGCAAAGAACTAAGAGAGATGTATTAGGGGGGACAATGAGCAAAGCACTAAGACAGACATGTATTAGGAGAGACAAGGAGCAAAGCACTAGGGCAGACATGTAATGGGAGAGACAAGGAGCAAAGCACTTAGACAGACATGTATTATGAGAGACAAGGAGCAAAGCACCAAGAGAGATACATACTAATGTAAAATAAAACATATTAAGATACATAGTATTGTGTACATTGTTTCCCATGCACACTTTATTATTCATTATTAGGTAATGTAATTATTTATAAAGATTTAACTGTCCAAACTCAAGTAAAAGAAACAGGTGTTTATTTTCGTGATTAAGTTTTCAATTGCAGCTGCTTAGTGTAGATCTTGATTCCTGTGGGTGATGGTGGTTTCAGTGATGATTTGCTAATTGTTAGTTCAGTACTTTTCTTCAGAATTTGTTGTGTTTTTCCTCAATAAATACAGCGTTGAATATGAATTAAGGATTGAGACGCAGAGGTGGTAAATAGGTATAAGTCTCAGTGTATGTTATTCTGCATACAAAATGGTTACAAACTGTATACAAAAGAAGTTGTATTACTGATTTATTGTATCTCACTTATCCGGAGTCTGCAACAATAACCAGGTGTGTTTTATTTCTTCGTTATCCGTCTAAACCACTCAAAACAGTTGAACAAAAAAAGTATTTTCTAAAAAAAGGGATTGCACAATAAACTATCATAGTTAGAATCCATTGGTTGTCATATATTTAGAGGCACACGGGGCGGGGGGTTTAGGTAGTGCCAAGAGGCTGAGCATGCCCTGGCACTTTTGGGTGCTTATGTCTGTTTAATAACTTTCCATGCTCAGGGTTGCCAACTGTCTGGCTTTCGGCAGTACAGTTCCGATTTTGGAGACCTTTCCCACAGCCCTGATGTAGTTGAGATCACGAGGGAAGGTCTAACATTTCCATACGCAATTACATTGTAATTTATCATCACTTAATACTTACTTTGTTACACAGTCATCATGCCCGGCTTATGAGTGCTACCCTAAACTTACACTAAACCCAGGTACTATCTGTTTTTAACCACAATACTGCACTGTTGTACCTGCTTGGGAACACTTCTCAAAACATCATATTAGTATCAATACAGTGTGATGTATCACCATCAATACTGTTCTGCCACTCCATTCCATGTTTCTCTAGCAAAACATGCTCACTAGAGGGACAATAACAGTAACTATAGGTGCATGCATTGTTGATGATTTTATGGAGTGAAGGAAAACTGACTGGTGGAGTATTCTTCTGCTCTGTCTTGTCACTCGGTTCTCAACGTAAAGGACTAAGCTGATGGAGTGTCTATATGACGTTTTTACCTTTTCTTTTAATATCAAGTTGTGCTTACCATGTCAGCTACATTTGATATTATACAGTTGCAATCAAAATTATTCAACCCCCATTGAAAATCAGGTTTATTGTCAAAATTTACAGACTTCCAGCTGTTTGCAATGAACTAATCAAACAAAAGCAATTGAAATAGCTCAACACAGGGGGGTGCGTGATGACGTAAGACGCCGCACGCACTATAGGCGGGCGTGTCCGAGGAGGAGTGTGCGAGAAGAAGGAGGACGCGGTGGCGAGAGCTGGAAATGCCGCTCCGTATCACTCCGTGACTGAAGTCTGACCCGAGGGGGATTGAAGTGGAGTGAAGTGGAGGAAGGACTCGGTGTAGACCTGGCGTGTAGACCTGGCGTGTTGGTCGAGCTGGCTCTGTGGCTAAGTCGTGGGTTAGTCGGTGCCGGTTCCTAAATTTGCCAGTTGTTTTGTTTGGACGGACAAGTGGAGAGAGATCCCTTTACGAATTACCAAAAGGGATAAGGGAGAAAGATAATAACAGTTCACTCACAATCTATAAAAAGAGAAAAAGAGAAATAGAAAGTGAAAGTGAAAGACATACGAAGAAAGGGGGAAAAAAAAAAGGGACAAGAAAAGATATATCCCTCAGAAACTCTCCCAAATAGCTCCACATAAAAACTGTGAGTACTTTTACCCAAAATTGCAAAGCTTAATATGTGCATATAACCACTGGCTTGAAAAAGGAAAATTGGAAAGACTTTTTTTTTTTTTTTGGGAGACATTGACGTATCTGACTGATCTAATTGAATCAATTAATTGACTTTTGATCAATTTATCTAAATTATTTAAGGCTAAAGCTCTACATGAAATATCTAGTTACAATTAGTGATTGAGAAGTGTTTGAAAAACAAAATGTCAACTAGGAAAACAACAGAAAAGAAGAAAGAAACTAAGTTGGTCCAGCAAACAGAAAAAAGATTGTCAGGTTTTTTTTCTATTCCCAGTAAAGACCTGCAGGAACAGATAATTGATAGCAAGACACACCCAAGCAATATCCCTAATATTAACCAAGAAGTTTCACCTAATCAATCTCCCTCAGAAATGCAGGCAATTGCTTCAATCAATATACAAGATCAATTTAAGCCAGGGCCGGATTAACATAGGGGCTGATGGAGCTGCAGCTCCAGGCCCAGACCCATGGAATAGGCCCATTTTAAAAAAAAATGTAAAAAAATTATAATTTTTTTTATTTTTACATTTTTTTTTTTTTTTACACCCTACTCTTAGGTTTTCCTCCTGACTGGTATTTTACTGGCACAGATGGTATTTGAGGCTGTCTGGTTGTGCCAGTATTGCAGTAATATCGCAATACAAATGCAGATATTTTTCTCAGTATAAACAGAGATTACTCTGCAATACCAGCGCCAGCCAGTAGTGTGTGTGGAGAGAGGCAGGGATAAGTTACAGCATATCCCCCCTGCCCTTTCTCTACTCACTGATCCGCAGGGGAGCAGCTACACAGCTACACAGCACAGAGAGTCCAGACAGCAGCTCCCAGCCTGCAGAGACAGCCTACAGCTTAGGGAAGTGTGGGGTGAGGGGAAATGCTGCAGGTAGGCATTGGGACACAGACACTAAGGGACACTGGGAGACCTGGGGACACAGACACTTGGAGATACTGTGAAACATGGGGACACTGAGACACTAGGGGACACATGGGGACACTGATAAACTATGGGACACTGGGAGACCTGGGGACACTGAGACACTAGGGGACACTGTGAGACATAGGGACATTGAGAGACACATTGGGACACGGAGACACTAATGTCTCAGTGTCTCCATGTCTTCCAGTGTCCCCATGTCTCCCAGCCAGTGTCCCTAATTTCTCAGTGTCCCCATGGTTCCCAGTGCCCCCATGGCTCCCAGTGTCCCCATGTCTTCCAATGTCCACATGTCTCCCAGCCAGTGTCCCTAGTGTCTCAGTTTCCCCATGTCTCTCAGTATCCGTAGTGTCCCCATGTCTCCCAGTGTCCCCAAATGTTTCAGTGTCCCCATGTCTCCCAGTGTTCCCAAGTGTCTGTGTCCCCATGCCTCCCAGCCAGTATCCCTAGTGTATCAGTGTCCCCATGTCTCCCAGTGTCCTCTAGTCTCCCAGTGTTTGTGTTCCCATGTTTCTCAGTGTCCTTAGTGTCCCCAAATGTCTGTGTCCCCATGTCGCTGTGTCCCTAGTGTCTGTGTCTCCATGTCTCCCAGTGTCCCCAAGTGTCTCAGTGTCCCCATGTCTCACTGTGTCCCCATGTCTCTCAGTGACACAGGACACACTGAGACATGGGGACACTTGGAGCAATGAGGACACAGACACTAGGAGACTAGTGGACTGAGTGACATGGGGACACTGATGTGGCAAAACCGACCTCGCCATTGGGCATTGGAGAAGACTGATTGCCAGCCTCCTGCCATGTGACTATGGCCCCTGAGATGTATTGCCCTTTAAAGACATTATTTGGGCTTATTGGATTTTAAAACACTTTTTATGCCCCTTTGAATACATGAGAAGGTGTGCCCCTCCCCCGTTTCCTTTCTATTGTTCTCCAGCAGGGCGTTGTCCCAGGGGCACCGCCAGACCAATTGGAACTTGTTGCTATGGTTTAACCCCATGGCGATTTGACTGTGTTTGTGGTATCTGAGCGCAGTTCGGATATAATGAGGGCTCAGATCCAAGCTATCTGGAGATAAGTTGAATGTGGGGGTTCTGTTAAGTATAATAGGAATTATGTAATTTTATGTGTTTTTACTTTTGTTCTGAATAGAGCTATTTTCTGTATGCTGGAGGTAATCGGCTTACGACACCCAAGCCATGCTTGCAGAAGGTCACAAAGGGATTTCCAACTAACTTTTGACCGACTGGACCAATTTGTATGATTTTGACATATGTTTGTATTTGGAGTATGCTGATTCTGAAAATGTAATGTTTATGTGAATGTGATGTATACTTTTAGAGTTATGAATATTGTGTAAAACTGTGTATTTTCAGGCAGAGGGGAGGATTTTGTGTGGGAGTGTCTGAGTGTATTGTATGTATTGATTGGTTGTTCTGCAAAACCCTGTGGGCAGTACTATGCGTGTAAAATGTGCATAAAAGCAGAGTGTTTGATTAAAAGCTTCAGTTCTACTTCACCCTCAATTTGTAGTCCCTCAGAAAGCGCTAGGAGCATCCTTCAATGGAGGTACCCAGCCGGGGTGCCAGGTGATCAGTTACAACTGACACTGTGATACATAGGGACACTGATGCCAGGCTGGCCTTCCAATTCTTTGGGCAGACATGCCCTGTTTTGGGGCATTTTCACTCCTTTTGGCAGTTCTAGTCACGTGATTTGTGTCAGTGGCCCACCCTTTTACACCACCCATTGACTTCCTGCTTCACTGCACACTACTGTTAGGGGGAATGGATTTACTTGAAAGATTAAAGCATTAATTAGAGAGAGATTAGCATATTTTAAGAGAATCTGCGTTTTCTTATAGCTGCATCCTATGAGTTTAGTTTCCCTCTGGCACCATCTCCACCAGATACATAACGCTTGATAGGTATGACTGTTTTAGTGTTTTTGGTCGATAAGATTCTGTAATTAGGCCCCTCATAATTGTCAGCACCAGGCCCACTGGGCTCTTAATCTGGCCCTGATTTAAGCAAATGCTGGAATTACAATTAAATATATTGAAACAAGACATGTTGGTAAGCTTTGACGAGATAAAACAAGAAATTAAAAAGGTTGCAGCATCAGTGGTGGAAGTGGAGAAAAAATGCGAAGTGTTTGGAATTCAAATTAAGGCAATTACTACAGAAGTGCAGTTTCTGGTAAACAAAGTCGATAATCTTGAAAATAAAATAGCATCTCTAGAAGACAGATCAAGAAAAAGAAACATCAGAATAAGAGGGGTTTCTGAAGAAATCTCTAATGAAAAATTGAGAGAATATTTGAACAATTTATTTAAAGAGGTTCTACCAGAAATACCTACAGATGAATATAAAATAGAAAATTTTCATCGAATGTATAAGCCAGACACAACAGCTTCGCACCTCCCAAGAGATGTAATAGTGAGTTTTTTCTCACTATCAATGAGAAATAACTTACTGAAAGCTAGTCGTATTAAACCCCGAATAAATTCTATCTATAAGGACGTAATTTTCTTGCAAGATTTATCCTACTATACCAGGACTTGGAGGAAATCTTTCTCCACTGTGACAAATTTCTTAAGAAAAGAAGAGATTAGATTTCAATGGGCTTATCCAACATCCTTAAGGTTTACTTGGAAACAAGAAAAAAAAAATTTTTTGGACGCAAAAGATGCAGCAGTTGGCTATCAAATATTAATAAGAAAGCTTGATGGGTCTGCAACGAAGCAAGGAGGGAGGAGATAAGAGAAAGTGAGAAGGAGGAAGGAGAAGGGAAGAAAAGAAGAAATAATATTTTTTTTTTTTTTTATATAGAATTAATTAGTCGGGCATTGGGCATTGTGCGATTTGTAAATTTACTGATTTAATTGGTGATTGTTTTCACTTTAAGAGTATTAATTAACTAGATATATGCACATAAACATGCGGGGAAAAAAAGGAGATAAAAGTGAACACGTTCAAGTTTTAATATCAATTAGATTTGAACTTAACGAGGTGGCCAAAAGAAAATTATTCACATGCATTAGTTAGTCAAGAAGAAATAGATTTAACTAAAGTAAAGAAACACAGGGTAATGGAGTTGAGTACAAAACTAGCTGTACACTGGATAATTAACAAACTTATTGAGGTAATTGTTGGTTGTTTTCACTTTAAAGGTATTAATCAATCACGCATATGCACATAATCATGTGGAAAAAGGAGTTAAAAGAATCACGTATATGCACATAATTATGTGGAAAAAGGAATTAAAAGTAAACATGTCTAAGTATTAATTGGATTTGATCTCAATGAGGTGGTTAAAGGTAATTTATTCACATGTATTAATAAGGTAGAAAGTAATAGATTTAATCAAAGTAAAGATAAAAGTTTCTTTTTTTCTTTTTTTTCTCCCCCCCCCTCTTGGGGAAAGATCGCTAATTTACAGATATTATTACCTCTTTCTGGACACGCCCACTTAGTGTCTAATTCAAAGACACAGTAAAGACTGAATCCCCAAATGGAGACTTACAGTCTTTGTGTAAAAAAAGGAGGATCTCCTCCTATGATTTTAATATTTTGTTCTGTGTGTATGTATTGGTATGTTTTTGCAGCAATAGGGAAGGGTTATGGTTATCGAGTGGAAGGAGATGCAGAGAAGTTGTTGAAGACAATATGATAAAAATGCTCACACTTAATGTTCAGGGATTAAATACTATAGGGAAAAGAAATTTATTGTATAAATACCTCAGTGAAAAACAATTGAATTTAATATTTTTACAAGAAACTCACTGGAGACAAGCGGATAAACAGAATTGGGGGGGTAAAAGATTTCCACTTATAATTCAAGCTTCTAATAAGGAAAAAAAAATGTGGAGTAGCTGTGGTATTTGGAGAAAGGATTAAAGTTGAAGTAATCCATCAAATACAAGATACTAAAGGCAGATATTTAATAGTAATATGCAAAATTGACTCTATACTTTTTACATTATGTAATATATATCTTCCTAATTATTCACCAGCTGCTTATTTAAAAACAATTTTGGAGAAAGTAGATGAAGTCAAAGTGGGAAAGTTAATAGTGGCAGGGGACTTTAATGCTGTATTGGATCCTCAGATAGATAAAAAATTAATGAAAGGAAATACTTTAAATCAGATGGTGATAAAACAAGCAAAGGCTCTAAAAAAAATCAAAGATGAATATAATTTATTTGATATTTGGAGAATTTTTAACCCTATTGAGAGAGATTATACGCATTTTTCCAAAGTGCATTTTTCTTATTCTAGATTAGATATGATTTGGGTTGATCCAAGTATTATTGATATGACCAAAAAAACAAAGATTGAGGAGATAGTTTGGTCAGATCACAATGGAGTTTTTTGCGAAATTATTTTTAGTACATTTAAAAGAGAAGCCTATACCTGGCGGCTAAGAGACAATTTGCTTTGTTGTGAATCAAATAAAACTTACATAGGAAATAATATAAAAAACTACTTCAAAGAAAATATCTCAGATAATACTGATCCAATTATTTTGTGGTGTGCCTTTAAGGCTGTAATAAGAGGTCATATTATCAAGCTACAAAGTCAGCTTGATAAAAGAAATACCCAGGCATATCTATTTACAGAATTAAGAAACATGACTCATAGCAATAAACAATCTCCATCTCCTGTAATTTATGATAAAATATTAGAACTTAAAGAAAAAAATAAAGCAAAAATCAATGGATATGATAGCTAAAAATATGGATAGATTGAAACTTAAATATTACTCTAAAGGCAATCGAGCTGAAAAGATGCTATCTCAAAAACTTAGAAAACAAAAAGGACAAAATAAAGTAGATAAAATAATACAAAATGGAAAAATAGCATTAACTCCTAGAGAGATTGGAAAGTGTTTTAATGAATATTATGCCAATCTATATAACATACCTCAAATTAATACAGATGAGGATATAAAAAACTATCTAAATAATATAAGGAAGTTTCAACTAACACCCAATGAAAACGAACTTTTGAATAAACCTATAACTCACGAGGAGATTACGAAAGTAATAAATGATCTAGAAAGAACCAAAACACCTGGCCCGGATGGGTTTAGCAACCTTTTTTATAAAACATTTAGAGAGTTAATATGTTCACATTTGACCTCTGCTTTTAATACAGCAGTAAACAGAGGATTTTTACCAGCAGAAATGCTTAAAGCTAATATTTTGCCCATTTTGAAAAATGATAAAAACCCCACTGACATCAAAAACTATCGTCCGATATCTTTAATAGATGTAGACACTAAATTATATGCTTCGGTTTTGGCTGCTAGACTAAAAAAACTTTTTCCATTGATTATCCACAAAGATCAAATAGGATATGTACCAGGCAGAAACTCCTATACAAGTATAAGGAAAATTATTAATATCCTGGATGATGCAAATAGAAAAGATGTTCCAGTTCTGACTCTGTCGATTGATGCTGAAAAAGCATTCGACAGAGTCAGCTGGAAATACTTAGAAGCCGTTTTATCGCACTATGGATTGGAAGGTTGGATTAAGAAAGTCATAATGGCGTTATATGTAAATCCAGTTGCACGGACCATCGGACCTAATATTGTCGCCCCATGGTTCCAACTCAGAAATGGCACTCGGCAGGGTTGTCCCCTTTCACCATTACTCTACTTGCTGACTATCGAGCCATTGGCTGAGAATATCAGAAATAATAAAGAGATTCACGGTTATAAAACAATGGATGAGGATCAGAAAATCAGTCTATACGCTGACGATATTTTAATTACTCTTACAAACCCTAAAAATTCTCTAGATTTTTTAATGCAAGAAATAGAGCGATATAGTTTCATATCAAATTATAAGTTAAATACAAACAAATCTCTGATATTAGATGTTAACCTGGATAAAAAGATACAACAAGAGATTAAAAATAAATATGATTTTATTTGGGTTAAAGAAAGCATGGATTACTTAGGTATAAAAATAACTAGAGAGATAAACAAGATCATGGAAGTAAATTTCTTAACACTATTATTAGAACTTAATAAATGGTTAAAAGACCGCAGAATTCTAGAGATTACTTTTTGGGGACGAATAAACGTTATTAATTCATATGTCATACCAAAGTGGAACTATTTGTTTCAAATGTTACCCCTCCATATCCCAATCCATTGGCTTCAATTAATACAAAGAAGTTTCACTCAATATATTTGGAAAGGCAAGAAGCCAAGACTGAAGCAGTCAATATTAGTGCAGAAAATACATAAAGGTGGACTTGACTATCCATTCATAATGAATAACTTCAAAGCAGCTACTATCTTACATGTATATAGAATGCAAATTAAAGAAAATAAAGAAGAGGGATGGTATAAAATGGAAATGAAGGCAGGAGAAGTTTCCAGCCTGGAATGTTTAATTTGGAATATAAACAAAACGCCAAAGAAAAAAGAGTATGCTAGTATCATTTTAACTCAATTATTAGAAAACTGGTTAAAAATTAAAAAAGCAATGAATATAGAAAAAAAAGTCCCAAGCTACTTAGAGTTAGACACTGTAGAAAAACAAGTGGAAGATTTAAATTTAAATAATTGGAAAAAAGAAGGGATAAAGACTTTGAACCAATTATTGATAGAAGGAGCAATCAAAACTTTTGCTCAAATAACAGGGGAATATAATCTCCCTTTTAGAGAGTTGTTTAATTTTTTAAGACTTAAAAGTTATATGAATATACATCTTATAATACCAAAATCTAACTCAAGTAATTTGATAGATCTATTATTTACGTCAAAAAAGATTAATAAACCACTCTCTAAAGCACTGATTTTAATTAAATCAATGGCCAAAGACACAAACCCTACTGCCATACAGGTTTGGAAACAAGAATTGAACATCGATATTAATTTGAATCAATGGGGTTCTTCAATGATGGATGTTAAGAAAAATATACACTCATTAAATCTATTAGAAACTCACTTTAAAGTTTTAAATAGGTGGTACTTAGTACCAG